ATTCCTAGAAGTGGAATTGAGCATCAGAGGCCACATGCGGTGACATTTTGAGAGGTATCACCAAACTGCCCTCTAAAGATGTGGTTCTGAGTTACGCTCCCTCCAGAAATGTAAGATCGTGCCTCTTTTTCTGGTGTGGGTATTTTTCATCCCTGGTTTCCATTTATAGCCTGAGCTGTCTTCGTATCAGCTGAAAAGTTCAAAATGTTGGCAGTAAGGGTGGATTCTGAAGAAATTCCCGATATAGAAGGGCAGGGGTGGAAGAAATCCCGATAAGCTACATGAGCTACATGAGAAAGTGAAGCTCTTCTTTTCTCCCTGTGGAGGAGAGGAGAGTCAAATGCAGCTGCAGGTTGGAGAAAGATCATTACATTTGGCTAAACTCCTCAAGGTCAGCCCCCAGGGCCTGGGCCCAGCCCCTAGCCATTTGATAGTTTATTCTAACAAGAATAAACATGACGGCAGCTTATTGACCAGAGAAACCTTGGTTGTAAAATGAGATACTTTACCTTTGCATTTTTCTTGATGAGTACACATTCCAGTGGTCAGTCTTTTTAGGCGGAAATAATGGGTCGAATTTCCTGTAGGCATGCATGTAGACCTGCAGGTGCACACACTCACAGCTCAGTTATTCCGTTGAGGTCTAGGCCTCTTTTATGGACCCTGAGGTTTAGAAAGGTGGTCCAGTTAACACAGACACACAGGAGTTACGATAAATAGTGAGTTTTCTTTACTCATATAGAAGATTGGTTTGATACAGGGGTTCTCAGCCTTAGCTGCCAATTAAGACCACCTGGCAAGTTTGTTGTTGGTTTTTTTTTTTTTCTGAGATGGAGTCTCACTCTATAGCCCAGGCTGGAGTGCAATGGCGTAATCTTGGCTCACTGGAACCTCCACTTTCCAGATTCAAGTGACTCTCCTACCTCAGCCCTCCAAGTAGCTGGGATTACAGGCATGCACCACCATGCCCATCTAATTTTTGTATTTTTGTTAGAGATGGGCTTTCACTATGTTGGTCAGGTTGGTCTTGAACTCCTGACCTCAGGTGATCCACCTGCTTTGGCCTTCTTAAGTGCTGGGATTACAGGTGTGAGCCACTGTGCCTGGCCTCCTGGCAAGTTTGTAAAAGGCTGATGCCGGCCGGGCATGGTGGCTCAAGCCTGTAATCCCAGCACTATGGGAGGCCGAGGCGGGTGGCTCACAAGGTCAAGAGATCGAGATCCTCATGGTCAACATGGTGAAACCCCGTCTCTACTAAAAATACAAAAAATTAGCTGGGCGTGGTGGCGCGTGCCTGTAATCCCAGCTACTCGGGAGGCTGAGGCAGGAGAATTGCCTGAACCCAGGAGGCGGTGGTTGCGGTGAGCCGAGATCGCGCCATTGCACTCCAGCCTGGGTAACAAGAGCAAAACTCCATCTCAAAATAGGCTGATGCCCAGGCCTTCCCCCTAGTCAATTGAGTCAGAGTCTCTGAGGATGGGGCTCAGGCCTCAGGATTTTCTAAAACTTCACAGGCAAGTTTGGTGTGCAGCCAGGGTTGGCAGTCACTGGACTAGTATAGAAGATTTTACAGCTTTCAGGCCAAATCTGGCCCCCCACCTGTGTTTGCAAATAAAGTTTTACTGGAACACATCCACATCCATCTGTTTATAATTTTTGTTCATGCTGCTTTTGCAACAGAGCCTGTATGGCCTGCAAAACCTGAAATATTTACTGTCTGGGCTTTTTAATTTTATTTTTTGAGATAAGGTCTGGCTCTTTTGTTCAGTCTGGAGTGCAGCAGCGTGATCTCAGCTCACTGCAGCCTCTGCCTCCTGGGCTCAAGCGATCTTCCCACCTCAATCTCCTGAGTAGCTGGGACTACAGGCATGTTACCACTACGCCTAGCTAATTTTCTTATTTTTAGTAGAGACAAGGTTTCACCATGTTACTTAGGCTGGTCTCGAATATAAGGTCAGGGAACTGCCCTTCTCAGCCTCCCAAATTGCTGGGATTACAGGCGTGAGCCACTGTTTCCAGCTTTCTCTGGGCTTTTACAGAGAAAGTTTGTTGACCTCTGTTGTAAATTTTTTCGGTAACTGTGTAATCTAGTAGTATATAGGAATGTTATTGAGGACACTGATGAACGTGTCACTTGGGTAGCCATGGAAAGTATTTTTGTGAGCTACTTTTCCATCTTTATTCTTGAAAAGGCTGGCTTTTCCCTCTGGAATCCAGCGGGCTGCTTCATTTCTGAAGGTGGAAATTATGAGGGAGGCCTCAAATCCCTCCCCCTTTGCTGTCACATTGGCACGCAGCTCAGCTATTAAGTCCTTGAGTCCTGCTTACTGGAACTGCTCTTTAATCTGGGCTTTCTCTCTTTGCTTTCTTTCTTTCTTTTTTTTAGATAGAATCTTGCTCTGCTGTCCAGGCTGGAGTGCAGTGGCGTGATCTCGGCTCACTGCAACTTCAGTCTCCTGGGTTCAAGTGATTCTCCTACCTCAGCCTCCTGAGTAGCTGGGATTATAGGCGTCCACCACCACGCCTAGCTAATTTTTAAATTTTTAGTCGAGATGGGATTTCACCATGTTGGCCAGACTGGTTTTGAACTCGTGACCTCACTTTGGCCTCCCAAAGGGCTGAAGTCACAGGTGTTAGCCACCATGCCTGGGCTTTCTCTTTTAATGTTTCCCCATTCCTTGCTCTTTTTTTTTTTTTTTTTAAATTTTTAAATTGTTTTACTCTATAAATTCTCTTTATTAAGCTACTTCAGATTTCTTGCTGGACAGAGATAAGTATAAACAGTTTTCTAGTTCTTTCTCCAGTAATTTTTTTTTTTTAAAATATAGGCTCTTGCTCTCACCCAGGCTGAGAGCAGATACACAATCATGGCTGAGTGCAGATACACAATCGTGGCTCACTGCAGCCTCAAACCCCTGGGCTCAAGCAGTCCTCCTACTTCAGCCTCCCAGGTAGCTAGGATTATAGGCATGTACCATCAAGCCCTGCTACTTTTTGTAGAGATGGGGTCTTGCTTTGTTGCCCAGCCTGGTCTCGAATTCCTGGCCTCAAGCCATCCATCTGCCTCTGGGTCCCAAAGTGCAGGGAGAGGTGTGAATCACTGTGCCTGGCCTCCCTGCAGTAAATTTGCACATTCTTCCCCCTCTGAGAGGTGGCTGTGTCAATGTCTGCAGTCCTGTCTCTAGTAGCCTCTCTTTAAAGCCCTGATTAGTGCGTGTGTACACACATGTGCACATGGGCATGCATGCACGCACACATACATTTTTGGGTATTTTTCTTGAATTACAGGGATAGTGTCTCTGCTTGCTCTGAGCACTTACTTCTGGAATCTCCCTGGGTCTGGGAAGGGCAGTCTGTAAGTGTGATTTAGGAAAAGACCCATCTCTTTCCTTCTCCTTTTTTTTTCTTTTTTTTTTTTAAATAATAGGGTCTTGCTCTGTTGCCCAGTCTAGATGGCAGTGGCATGATCATAGCTCAGTACAGCCACTAACTCCTGGCTCAAGCCATTCTCCCACCTCAGCCTCCTGAGTGGCTAGGACTACAAGTGCATTCCACCACACCTGGCTGGGCAAAGACCCCTTTCTAATCTTACCTTGGTGGGTGTTAAGTTGGAGCAGTTTATTGCTTCTCGTCACCTATGAGTGGATTGGGTGGGGCTTTTGGAGGCTGCTCCTGGTCGCATTGAAGGAGCTAATTTCTGGGTATGCAGTATTTAAGAACCCTCCCTTGCTATGTGAACGGGAGAGTGGTTGGGTCAGGCCAAAGGAAAAAGGTTGGAGAGAGCAATGGCTTTAAATAGCGCTTCCAGCCCAGCTGGACTAGATTCCAGGGCCTCTTTAAAAGCCCAATGAAAGGAGGCGGCTTGAGGCGTGGAGGTAGCCGGGAGATGAAGCGCGAAGTCCAGGGAGCAAGCTCACCGCTGCTGGAAACGGGCTCAGAAATGGCTTCTCCTCTTTATGGGTTGATTGGATGCCATCTGCTTTGTGATCTGCTTTCTGGGATCGGCCGGAGTAGGACAGCTGCCCCATACTCTGCTTTGCGTGGGTTGGCGGGGATGCCAGAGGGTGGCAGGCACAGTGGAGGACAGTAGGCCCCACCTGCAGAGTTGCTTGTTGCTTTGTGGACCTGTGCAGCCGCTGAAACTCTTAATATTTTGGGGTTGCTAGAGTAGCTGGGAAAGGAATCCAAAAAATGTAAACTCACTGCCTCTTTGAATCCATCCCGCTGGTCCTACAAAGAGCCCTCGAAGAAGTGAGGGGACAGGACCTTTGGCCCGAGTCATGCCCTGAGGTATCTGCCTGGGAACTAGGCTAAGGACCTTGGACTCTTACTTGAGCGAGACCTGTTAGATGCAGGTTGAGTATCCAGGGCTAATCTGTTCCTCTTGCCTCGCATAGATGCCTTGAGCCAGAGCACACAGGTTGGAGGGTCTGCCTGTCTTACATTCCCCACCCCTTCTAGTTTCAGCCCCAGGCTGGGTCCACAGAGAACGAAAAATGAAGCCTCTGTGGCAAATAGGCATTTAGGGTTCCCAGCTGTCAGAGTGTTTTTGAGGGGGTCGCTGTCTTTCTTGGATAAAAGCCCTCTCCAATCTGGACCTGCAGTTTTAAGTACACCCTGACCAGGCTCGGTGTTGTTTTGTCCACTGAAATCGAGAGTGAATATCTGCCGGTAACCTTTGTCTTTAAAGCATCCCTAATGATGCTGACTTCCATACACTGAGCCATCTGGCTTTGACTGTCCATTTGAAATACTGAAAGTCACCCAGATGATTGTTCAGTGGACTGTTTAAACCTGCCAAACGTGTGCATGCAGGCCGTTATCTTCTTGTCACCCCATGTGGTTGAGCAGATGATATTGTTGGAATGAATGATGAATAACGTATCCCCCTCCCCTCTGTGTTCTGAAATGTGTGTTTTGCTCTGACTTTGCAAGGACGAAGCTCAGTAATGAGCATTATTGTGTGCCTGGTCTTACGAAGGTGTGATGGTCTCTTTCAGATCGAAGCAAAGCAGAGATGGATTTGAAGGAGCTGAGTGAGTCGGTCCAGCAACAGTCTACCCCCGTTCCTCTCATCTCTCCCAAGCGCCAGATTCGTAGCAGGTTCCAGCTGAATCTTGACAAGACCATAGAGAGTTGCAAAGCACAATTAGGTATACGTTTGGTTTCGGTTTTGTTTTTTTTTTCCCTAGCAGTATCGTTGTTACCATTACTTGTAGGGATGCCACCGGGATGAAATCAGGGTTGAATCCTGACTGCTTTTAGCAGCTGCTTTAACTTTAAACTGTTTGCTCAGCTAAAATATATTTCCACTAATGGCAAAAGATTTCAGACTTGCTAGTTAACTCAGGGCTCTTTGAACTCATCAGATTTTATTCTTTGGTGAAAGCAGCTGGGAAACTTGAGATACAGGTTTGAAGCATCAAGGTTTGCAAGCAGAATGAGGATCCTCTGGGTTTGCCTCTGCTCTCCTTCTCAGTACACATCAGTGTCTCCACACCAGTGCTGAGTGTTTTCTGCAGGTGTCTGAAACAAACCCTTTCCTTCCAGACCGGTTGCCTCCCCACCTGGCAAACCCTTCCCCCTTCTGTAGCTGTTGCCTTCCTTCCTCTTCGCTGTGCTGTCTGCCTTCACACTGTCTACCTGAATCCTGCCCTTCCGTGAGGCTGAGCTCAGATCTCCCCTCCTCCAGGACGTCTCCCCTGACTGCCCTCCCCATCGCCTCCTTTGGTACTTTATTGCTTGGAAGCAACAATGGTCCCTATGTGTGGGAGTGTCCCTTCCAGTCTAGACCGGAAACTCCTTGACGGTAGGGAGGCTGTTGGATGAGGATTTGCCTTCTCTATGGTACTTTTTCTGTGCACATGGTAGATGCTCTGGAATGTTTGTTGAATATGTCAGTAAAGCTGGGAGGGCATTTCTGAAGAAGTGGGGGATGGCTGGGCCTCTGGAAAGCAAGCTCCTCCGAGTGTCAGTGGGTGCTCTGCATCTTCGAGTGAGAAAGCAGCCATAGTTAGGGACCACCTGGGGCTGTCCAGAGGACAGCAGTTCCTGTTGGGTTGCCTGTTTGGTGAGGACATTGAGTAGCATGGATGAAATTTGGCGTGCCATTTACATATGCCTCTTGGGTCCTTCCATGCAGCTGGTCCTACTCTTGATTTGTTTTTATCACTAATATGAGTTGTAATATTTCCATTTACCGAGTGTTTTCTCTGACACTATGTTAAACACTGCATATAGATTGTCTTGGGAGGTTGATACTTTGATCAGTCCCATTTTGCAGATGGAGAAACTGAGGCTCAGAGACATGAGTCATTTGTTCAGGGTCACACCAGTAATAGAAACAGAAGAGCAGGATTTGAATTCATATCCTTTGGACTCCAGGACCCAAGCTTTTCCTATCCCATATGTGGCTACGCTTCTCCTTCTTGTTGCTTTTTGTTTTGTTTTGAGATGGAGTTTTGTGCTTGTTGCCCAAGCTGAAGTGCAATGACACAATCTTGGCTCACCACAACCTCCATCTCCCAGGTTCAAGTGATTCTCCTGCCTCAGCTTCCTGAGTAGCTGGGTTTACAGGCATGTGCCACCACACCCGACTAATTTTGCATTTTTTTTTTTTTAGTAGAGATGGGGTTTCTCCGTGTTGATCAGGCTGGTCTCAAACTCCTGACCTCAGGTGATCTGCCCACCTCAGCCTCCCAAAGTGCTGGGATTACAGGTGTGAGCCACTGTGCCCGGCCTTCCTTCTTGTTTCTAATCATGAGCTACCAGCAGCACAAGCCTAGGATTCCAGAATTATACCAGATCTGGGTGTTTGTCTTTTGGCTTGTGTTCTTGCTGTGGTGCCCTGGCTGGCCTTGAACTCTTGGGTTCGAGCAGTTCTTTTGCCTCAGCCTCCTGAATAGCTGGGGTACATGTGTGCACCACCATGCCTGGCTCGACTTGTGTTTTTGATTGAGTCCTGGTGGAGGCAGATATATTCCCCAATGATCTTGCCCATATCCCATGCTCTGGGTCGTTGATGGCTCTGGTACTTTTGCAGGTTTCTCTTTGCTGTGTCCGGGTTGGACAGTGGCACCACTGTCAGTGGCCATTGCTCTAAATGCAGAGATTGCACAGACTTCGTTGGGTTTTCTTTCCTCTTTCCAACAGTTTAGGATATGGTATTATTACCTACAGTATGATGATGGCACAGCGTATTATTGGGAGCAGGAGGTGTAAATGGGTTAAATGGAACTCTTGTTAGGAATGTGCCTTTGCCCATTTTTGTTTGTGTGTGTCAAATACCTGCTAGTTTGTGCTTCTCCCTTTTGAAAGAGACGGAAGTATGTGACTTTTGTCCTGACTCCTTTACCAGTGGAAGAGCAACGCACATGGAGTGGCAGTTGACTTTCCACATGAGTGCAGGGAGCAGGAGGGAGGGCTGGGCACCCGGATCACCTGGAGACAAGTGTGTCCCTTGCCTACAGGAGCCAGTGGCTTTCCTGTCCCAGCCAATGCCTGGCAGGTTGGTGACTCAGAGAGGCCAGATTTTCCCCTCTTTCATCAGATGCCTCTGCCTTGATTTCTCTATGAAATTTTCCGAGTTATGAATTGGGCAACACATTATAAATTAGAAAACCAAAAGCAAATAAGATACCCTGCGGGTCAAACCAGTGCCTCTCCTATGAAACATGTCTGCAAGCTCGATGTGGCTTGTGGGCTGAGTGTTTGCAGCCTCTGCTTGAAGGCGTTGGCTTATTTCTTTGGGCGCTGGACATGAAGGATAAAGAACTTTAACACTTTGGGAACCCAAGGGAAGCAAGAGTGCTGGTGGGGAGCCAGGAACCCGGGGTTCTGGTCTGGCCTCTGTCTTGTGTCCTCGGGCAGGTCATATCCCTGGGCCTCTGTTTTCTAATCTGTAAATTGGATCAGTTTAAACAGGTTTTTCCTGCTGTTCCCTTCCAGCCCTCTCATTTTTAATAATCCTGATTGGTTATCAATGTTATAAAAAAATTTAGCGCCACATATTTAGTGCCATATACATTTAAGATTTCTGTTGGTAGGTCCCGTGTCTCCTTTGAATGTTAACCAAAACTCTCTCCAAAGGCAATTCCACTGGTCAGCCGTAGCCAGTGCCACTTGAGTTTATGACTGGTCCCATTTAGGCCAATGTGATGCGATTTGAAATGTCTTTTTCTTACTCCAGTGTTTGGTGTGGAAAATGTTTACATTTTTCGTCCTGATCTTTATTTTGCGACTACACCACATGCTGGGTTTTCTTTTTGAATTTAGGCATCAATGAAATCTCGGAAGATGTTTACACGGCTGTAGAGCACAGTGACTCGGAGGATTCTGAGAAGTCAGATAGCAGCGATAGTGAGTATATCAGTGATGACGAGCAGAAGGCCAAGAATGAACCAGAAGACGCAGAGGACAAAGAGGGTTGTCAGTTGGACAAAGAGCCATCTGCTGTCAAAAAAAAGCCCAAGCCTACAAACCCAGTGGAGATTAAGGAGGAGCTGAAAAGCACATCACCAGCCAGCGAGAAGGCAGACCCTGCAGCAGTAACAGTCAAGGACAAGGCCAGCCCTGAGCCGGAGAAGGACTTTTCTGAAAAGGCAAAGCCTTCACCTCACCCCACAAAAGATAAACTGAAGGGAAAAGATGAGACAGATTCCCCAACAGTCCATTTGGGCCTGGACTCCGACTCAGAGAGTGAACTTGTCATAGATTTAGGAGAAGACCATTCTGGGCGGGAGGGTCGAAAAAATAAGAAGGAACCCAAAGCACCATCTCCGAAACAGGATGGTAAGTGATTGTGTTCGTTTACAGTTTTCTTAATTGGGTTTAGAATCCTACCTTGTATGTTTATTATCAAAAGTTATATGACCTTTAAACAAACAAAGAAACCAAAAGTTATATGACCCTCTAACACCACCGACAGAGGCACAGTGAAGCTGTGTTTGGTTTAAGGTTACCTAGCTAGTGATGGAACAGCGTCTGGACACAAACATAGGCCCAGCTACCTTTTACCTGCTCAGTATCCGATATCGTTGATTTTAAGTGCAGAAAAAGAAGTCTCTTAGAAAATGGTGGTTACTTTAGTGACCAAGTCATGTTTTGTCTGAGCAGCTTCTTTTCCAATGTGCTCATTTATTTCTGTAAAGTGTTTGTTAACATTTGGACCTTATGAAATGGTCCTCCATTGCTCCATTCCACAGACATCTTGTTCTTTGTTTACAAGTCTCAAATGGTTGGCAGTGTTCATTTCAGGCCGGGTGTGGTGGCTCACACCTGTAATCCCAGCACTTCGGGAGGCTGAGGCAGGATCATTTGAGGTCAGGAGATCGAGGCCAGCTTGACCTACAGAGTGAAACCCTGTCTCAACTAAAAATACAAAAATTAGCTAGGCATGCTGGCATGTGCCTGTAATCCCAGCTACTTGGGAGGCTGAGGCAGAGAATTGCTGGAACCCAGGAGGTGGACGTTGCAGTGAGCTGAGATCCTGCTATAGCATTCTAGCCTGGGTGACAGAATAAGACTCCTTCTCAAAAAAAAAAAAAAAAAAAGTGTTCATTTAAAAGGTTTTGATGATTTCAGCATCCCATTCCTCCCCTCATGCCACTTAGGCATCTCCAAATGTATTTTCTTCTGATAGCTGGACATTATTTGGGTAGTTGGTGCCAGAATGTTGAGTGATTCTTAGGGCACTAGAAAATGAAGTATGGGTCCAGGCATGGTGGCTCACGCCTGTAATCCCAGCACTTTGGGAGTCCAAGGTGGGTGGATAACAAGGTCGAGAGATTGAGACCATCCCGGCCAACATGGTGAAACCCTGTCTCTACTAAAAACAAAAAATTAGCTGGGCATGGTGGCAAGCACCTGTAGTCCCAGCTACTTGAGAGGCTGAGGTAGGAGAGTCACTTGAACCTGGGAGGCAGAGGTTGCAGTGAGCTGAGATTGTGCCACTGCACTCCAGCCTGGTGACAGAGTGAGACTGTCTCAAAAGGAAGTATGCTAGATACCAGAATTGGCTTTTTTGGGATGAGGGCTGCTGGTGACAGAGTTTTGCTCCCATCACTCAGGCTGGAGTGCAATGACGTGATCTCTTGGCTCACTCTAACCTCTGACTCTGGGTTTCAGGTGATTCTCTTGCCTCAGCCTCCCAAGTCCCTAGGATTACAGGCGTGCACCACCATGCCAGGCTAATTTTTGTATTTTTAGTAGAAACGGAGTTTCACCATGTTGGCCAGGCTGCTCTTGAACTCCTGACCTCAGGTGATCCGCTTGCTTCGGCCTCCCAAAGTGCTGGGACTACAGGCGTGAGCCACCGTGCCTGGTTGCATTGACTTTTAATCTTATTTGCATTTAATTTAACTGAGCCCAGAGTTTCACAACCTTGCACTACTGGCAGTTTGCCCTGGATAATCTTTAGTTAGTCCTGTGTATTGGAGGATGTTTTCCAGCATCCCTGGCCTCTACCAGCCAGATGGCAGTTATGCCTGCCCAGCCGTGGCAGTCACAAATGGGGCAATCAGATATTGCCAAATATCCCTAGTTTCTGAGGCTACTGTTATATTCTGAACCGGCAGTGACTACCCTGCAGCCTAGTGCAGCTTGCGCGTGATAACAAGCCCTCCAAAAGGGGTGTGCGAATGAGTGGAAAGATGTCTTTCCCACTGACAAAGTATTCAGTACGTTTTTCAGTTGGCTTGGCAGGTAGGTTAGAGGATTCAACATATTCGATAAAGATACTGAAGAATTAACTCAGGGCCCAGAAGAAACATTGCCTAAGGACAAATTAGAGGTGGTAGCCATAAAACATTACATACGTTATGAGTAACTTAAGGGATAGCCAGGTATAATTCTTGACTGTGCCTAACTTCTAACAGCTTACTTGTCCTTCAAACCCTTGTATAAGATGCAGTTCTATGTTCTTTGGGGTTTCCATTGCCTGATAGCTTAAAGCAAGTCAGGAATGGGCCTTGAGAATCTTTCTGCTGTGGTTATGGTCAACCTGGGCTGCTCTGGAACCTCAGCTGTCAGAGTGTGAGATGATTCCTGCACAGTTCAACTACAGAGAATGTCTATGAGAGGTGCGGTGGAGGAAGAGAGATGCAGTTACATGAGGGAGGGAGGATAGGCCATCAAACCATCCTGACCCATCTGTTAGATTTATGGCTAGCTTCTGAAAAATATGAGTATGTTGTGGATTGGGTTTGAGAGACTGCCTCTCTTGTTTCAGAGAACAATAGGAACAGCATTTATTCCATGAGGATTATAGGAATATCTGGGTGCAGATGGCAGTACTCCTATGAATGACATATTTATACTGTTCTTTCTTTCTGGAACAGTTCTTTGATTGATTGGTTTTATGCCCCTACCTCTTCCAGGAAGAATTTGCAACAGATTGACAAGGATACATAACCATATGAGACTAGATGAAAATAAAGACATCCATGTAAAAGGAAAATGAAGGTAGAATAGCAAGTGGTCTGGGGAAAGGTTTTATTCAGAAATCTGTACTGTTTCAACCTTCAGAGTTAACAAAGTTGGCTCTGAGCTTCCTGGCAATGAAAGCAGAATGAGAAACACAGTGCCTTAAAAGATCTCATACTTTCCAAAAAATAAAAAAACATGTTCGTTGATTAAAAGAAGTAGAGCTCTTCCTCACACTGACGTCTGAAGGGAATTAGATGGAGGGCAATTACGCTGAAGATGATTCTAAAGCACAATTCAGTTAGAGCAGCTTTCTAAGGCTTGGGGCAAAACTGATCTTAAATTCAGAGTTCATGGTGGTTTGGGTCTTGAAAGTTGGCCTCGTGTCAGACTCTGCTGGAGAGTATCTTTTCAATGATGTGTTTTCACTTAAGAGTTTAGTAAGTGAAGGGCATTTTGGAGTGCGCTGTTGTGACCTCCAGCTTACCTTCCACTAGGGATGCAGCTTCTGGGTAGAATATGAATCTTCAGATGGCAAAACAGCTTTTATAACTAGTAATCTCTGAACAGAAGCAAAGAGAGTGCACTTAAAGACTGCTGTGCTTGCACTGGCATATCAGAAATTTCCATCCTTCTACAAAGGGGATGCTAATTTTTCTATTAAAAAGTCCTCGCTTTGTAAATGCAAAACAGTGACCAGTGACAAATTTAAGAATAAGAAGGTTAATTTGATAGGGCAGCATCTCAGGTGCTGGCCCTTTAAAAAAAAAATACACTCTTTTTTTTTGGTTACAGGTGATTGTGTACTCTAAATATCTGGGACAAAAGAAATTTCCTGTAGCCTAATTTTTTCTCCATAAACCATCAGGATTCCTAAAAATTTAAATGTTTTGGTATCTAAGTAACTCCAAACAGTATTTTGAGCCTGGAATCTTAATCAGATTGAATACTCCAGCTATTTATTTGGCAGAGAGCCAGCTGTGATCACGGCAGAGCAGTAACCCCTCTGCCCTGCTGAGTGTTTGCATCTGAAAATCAGGAGAGAGAAAAATGACCTTTTTGTGGTTGCACCTTAACTTACGATGGGAAAACTAGGCTAGCTAATCAACGATAACAATATATTTTTTGGTCACGTGGCAGGAAAGGAAGGCACTGAAGGCACTTATGCAGGTTAGAAGCCCTGCGAAGGCACTGTCCCCGTGCCCTCCTCTCAGAAGGGCCCAGTTCAACACCTTGTCTGCACCTAGAAGAGGCAGGGACTGTATCCCGTATCTGGCAGGTTGCCCTGGAAGGACTGAAGTTCTTCCCTGCAGGAAGCTCCCCTTCCAGATCCACCCGGGCTCTTGCCTACCAGCTTGGCTGGATTTTCCTCTCTGAGGAAGCAGGAGGGCCAGCAACAAGTGATAACCATCCAGAATGCCCCCTGAAGTCAGAACAGTCAGCTTATCTCTTCCCCTCATTCTCCTTGGCTTCTTAAAACCCACAGGTTACTGCTGGAGTAATCACTCATTTCTTTTCTGGGTGATATGGATCTTAAAAAGATGTCTGATGTTGGGGAGCATAGTCTATGATCAGGGTGCTGCCTTGTACCTGCGTGTGGTGTGTTCCCTGGACATCCTCTCTGGGGCACAGGCTCATCTCAACGGGGGCTGAGGTCTGTGCATCCATAACTGCGCCACCTTTACAAACGAGCACCCACTCAATCATCTCCTCTACCTGCTGCTCAGTGCTTCTGGCTCTGACCTGCCTTCCAATGCCTCCTTCCTGCCTGCCCTCACTTACCCAAATGCTCTCTATTCCTATGTATGTCTTGGCTGATGCCATTCCCTCCAGATTCTCACTTTCTGCCTGTTGAAATCCTAACTTTTATTCCCCACCAGCCCAGCTCCTCCAAGATGACGTACTCCATATGGCAGCGTTTTTCAAACTTGAGTCATTCACATTCATTGTCTTTGCCATTCTCAAGTCCTTGTATAATTTTTGACTTAATATTTTTATTTAAAGAATCTCATTCTTTAAAAATATAATTAAACTCATTTAAAGTGAGACACAGCAGCACGTGCCGTATTGTATAGTCCTAGCTACTTGGGAGGCTGAAGTGGCTCACTTGAGCCCAGCCTGGGTGATTTAGCAAAACTGTCTCTCTTAAAAAATATATATAAAAGAATTAAACTCATTTTATTTTTCATTTATTATTAATATTTTTTGAGACCGAGTCTCACTTTGCCCCACAGGCTGGAGTGCAGTGGTGCAGTCTCAGTTCATTGCAATGGCCGCTTCCCAGGTTCAACCAGTTCTTCTGCCTCAGTTTCCCAAGTGTGCCACCACGTCTGGCTAATTTTTTTGTATTTTTAGTAGAGATGGAGTTTCACCATGTTGGTCAGGCCAGCCTCAAACTTCTGACCTTAAATGATCCCCTCCGCCTCCCAAAGTGCTGGGATTACAGGCGTGAGCTACCATGCCCCGCCTCATTTTATTTTTTTATTAAAAAAAATTTCCCCTTGGCCAGGCGTGGTGGCTCACCCCTGTAATCCCAGCACTCTGGGTGGCAGAGGATCACGAGGTCAGGAGTTTGAGACCAGCCTGGCCAACATAGTGAAACCATCTCTCTACTAAAAATACAAAAATTAGCCAGGCATGGTGGCATGTGCCTGTAATCCCAGCTATTTGGGAGACTGAGGCAGGAAAATCACTTGAACCCAGGCGGTGAAGGTTGCAGTCAGCCTGAGATTGCACACTGCACAGAAGAGGCTCCCCTTCTGTTCTCCGTGGTGCAGGCTCCCATTTTGCCACACATTTCATCTCAAAAAGAAAAAAAAAAAAACAATTTCCCCTGAAAAAACCATCTGCAAGTATAAACTCTCTTTAGTCTTGACCAGCACCCAGTAGGAACAGTAGCTCACAGCATACATTAAAGATGGTGACAGGAACAAATCCAATCAAAACCAAAGCAATGCTACTCAATCCTAGATCAGTACCATTCATTGTGTTAGGGGAAGGGTCTGGCCTTGGGGCAGAATTCCCTTTCCTGATATCGGCAAGGCTGTCATTACTGCCCTGAAACTAACTGTTCTGGAGGGAGTCAGAAGAGAGAAAAGGAATACTTCTCTTTCTGGGTGACTGAGTGTTACTTAGTGCTTCGGCCATTGGGAAGTCATGTTTCTTTAGAGGTATTGCTTGCTCTCTACGTTTCCTAGTCAAAGCGATTCTCTACATCTCTGGATCTACTTCCGCTGGGTCTTTATCAAGGGGCGGACCAGAATGTAATTTTGCAAAAAGGGCGTGAACGGCATATCTGTTCGCCCAGCGTCGGAAGCCGCCGGGTCTCGTTTGCCTCATTCTTCCCCAGAGGTCTTGACTTGCATCTCCGATGTGAGCCGGTGCTCAGTAAAGGAGGCCTGTGCTGGGGAGATGGAAGATGCAGCCGAAGGGGCCTCAGCGTTCGGTGAGAATGTACTCCTCCAGCGCGGTGTGCTTGGCACGTCCAACCGGCCCTCCGTTCCTGGCTCTCGTAGGTTTTACCCTGAACTTGCTGGCGTGGAGACCCTTGCAGGCGAACCTGAGTGAAATCCAGTTTGTGTTTGTTTTTTCTTCGTGCATTGGCTAGTTGTAGGTAAAGCGCCACCATCCACGACGGCGGGCAGCCAGTCTCCCCCGGAAACGCCTGTGCTCACCCGCTCTTCCGCCCAAACTCCCGCGGCTGGCGCCACAGCCACCACCAGCGCGCCCTCCTCCGTCACCGTCACGGCCCCGGCCCCCGCCGCTGCAGGAAGCCCGGTGAAAAAGCAGAGGCCGCTTTTACCGAAGGAGACTGCCCCGGCCGTGCAGCGGGTCGTGTGGAACTCATCAAGTAAGTTTCAAACGTCCTCCCAAAAGTGGCACATGCAGAAGATGCAGCGTCAGCAGCAGCAGCAGCAGCAGCAAAACCAGCAGCAGCAGCCTCAGTCTTCCCAGGGGACGAGATATCAGACCAGACAGGCTGTGAAAGGTACCGAGCCTCCCCTTCTGTTCTCCGTGGCGCCCGCTCCCATTTTGCCACATCGACAGGAGAAAGTCATTGCTCTTTTATTTTTTTTTTAGTTTTCGTGTGTTTTTCCTGGCCGTTGTATCTTGAAGGCCTCGTGCATTACATTTGGCATTATTTTTAAAAATTGTTTTGCTTTTTTACTTTCAAAAACTTTTTTTGTTCATTTTATAAATGATACATGCATATATTTCCTTGAAAAGAAACTTTTAGGAAGTTTTACATAAAAGTCTATTGTCCCGTGTCCATTTCATTCTCTTCCCTTCCACAGTGGCCAGTATCAACCGTTGTAAAAGCTTTTCTATGCCTGTATGCATGTATATGTATATATACATATCTGTATGTATATATGTGTGCGTCATGCATATGATGCCATCAAATTAGTCTTTTTCTCCCCCTTTTTCTTTTTTGAAACATAAAAATGGTACCATACTTGCTTTTTTTTCACCCATCAGCATGTCTTGGAGATTCATCCATGTCAGCACATACAGCCCCGCCTTGTTCTTTTGGACTGCTGCATAGTATTCCATAGTTTATTTAAAGCATTCCCCTACTGATGGGCATTTAGGTTGCTTTCAGTTTTTTCCCACTGTAAGCAGTGCTGCAGTTAATATCTTTGTATAAATGTCTTTGCGCACATGAGGGAACCTCTTGGAGTTATTTTGGAAAAAGTACAGTGCAAGAAGTTGATAGCAAAGGTTACCTTAGTAACTAGAGATTTCGTCACACACAAAAGATGAGCCAGCCTCAAGAACCACTTGCTCAAGTTGCAGAATCAGAACTCCCACCAGCCCTGCAGGAAGCTCCATCTGGAGCTCAAATTAGGCCAGACACAGTGCTGATCTGACTGGTTGGTACCAGTTTGCCTGGCTTTTGTGAGCATTGATGTAGATCTCTTTCTACCAGGAAACCTGCATTTAGATCCTCAAAGGTTGGGTTCTTCAGCTGAAACTCATAGTGTGCCCTGTTGAGTGGGCTCATGAGCAGCAGGATGTGAGGTTAAAAGGTGGTCTGGAATTGGCCTCCAGTGAAATCCTTCAAAGATGGCAAGGCAGTGGGCCTTGAAAAATTGGACAGGCAAAATGAGAGTACAGTTGGATGAATTTTGCTGTTAAAAAAGTTGGTGGGGCAAAGCTGAGTCTAGGATATTTGAGACTGGGATTACTGCTTTCTGTCTTCATATCCTGTAAGCAGGAGGCTTCCCAGGGGAGTTTAATTGCTGTTGAGAAAAGAGGGTCGGACATGGTGACTCACGCCTGTCATCCCAGCGCTTAGGGAGGCCAAGGCAGGCAGATCGCTTGAGGCTAGGAATTCAAGACTAGCCTGGCCAACATGGTGAAACCCCATCTCTATTAAAATGGGGGGAAAACCCAAAAAACTAACTGAGCATGATGGCACATGCCTGTAACCTTGGCTACTCAGAAGGCTGAGGCATGAGAATCCCATGAACCTCGGAGGTGGAGGTTACACTGAGCTGAGATTACGCCATTGCACTCCAGCCTGGGCGACAGAGCGAGACTGTGTCTCAAAAAAAGAAAGAAAAAAAGAGTGCTGCTAAAAAGAGGCTGATTGCTTCAGATTGTCTTATGTCAAAGTAGAGCCTAGTTAAAGGGGTAAAGACAGATTTAAATCAGTAATATACTACTATAATATGGGCAGTAGTCTAGCATGAACTGAAATTAACTTTGCTTTGTATGGAGGTGACTGGGCATTTTGAAGGGAGAATGAGGGAGTAGGGATGGGAGCTAGTGGGGTCTTAGTAGAGTCAGGGAAGTTGAACATCATAAAAGCAAGGTGAGGGGTAGGTCTTCATGAAACCCATCTTCTTTGCTAACAGGCGCTTCATGAAGTTGGACCTCTACTCCCCCATAGAGACTGGGTTGCTGAGGTCCTGTCTTCAGGTGTTGGCCGGAACAAAAACTGTCAGTTCTCTTGGCAGCATTGAGTTTTCCCAGACAGGCACTTTAAGTGGGGGTTGGGGTCATCCTAGCAATGCACTCTTGAGCTCTTAGAAACTGTCTTTCCAGGGCAAGGTTAGGGCCTAGTCAAGAAACCTGGATAGAGTTTGGTTGAGGGGAGCGTCTTTGTCATTTAAAAGTAGAAAAGCTCTCAGGACATATATTGGGGCTTTGCTTCCACACCACAGCTCTGTGCTGGGATGGGTCCTTCCCATGATCGTGGGGTAATCAGGATGCTTTGCCTTCCTAGCTGTCCAGCAGAAGGAGATCACACAGAGCCCATCCACGTCCACCATCACCCTGGTGACCAGCACACAGTCATCGCCCCTGGTCACCAGCTCAGGGTCCATGAACACCCTCGTTTCCTCAGTCAACGCTGACCTGCCCATCGCCACCGCCTCAGCTGATGTCGCCGCCGATATTGCCAAGTACACTAGCAAAGTGAGTGGATGGGGAGAGCTGCTGTGGAGACGGCAGGCACCTGGCAGGATGTCAGAACCTGGGCCTCCCGAGGGGAAGCGTTGATATCTCAATCTCGCAGGCTCTAAGGAGTGGCTAGGACGTTAGGACCTACCCTCCCCACCCCCACCTTTTTAGCAGACTCTCCAAGACCCCATTCTTTCATTTGGGTCTAATGGAGAAGCATAGAATGGACTGACTCTTACTGCAAGTGGGCTTAGATTCTAAAGTCAGTTCATAAAGTACAAATGACATATAATCAAAATTGCCTTTGAGAATTCAAGTCACGCATTAGGGCATTGGAACACATGACTGATGCTTCAGTGAACAGCTGACCAGGGGTTTGCTTTGCATTTAGAAGACATGTGAAGCAGAAGTGACAGGAGACTTTAAACATAATGCTGGCAAGGTGAGATGCCCACACTTTGATATTTCCAGGAATCAAGATGGATGGGGAGGAGGGGGACTGATTGCACCCCTCTCCCACCTTCCTGCCCTCTAGGGCTCAATCCACATTAGGAGGCATGTGGGCAGGATTGCCTGTTGTGGTCAAACTCAGGGAGATTGTCTCAGCACAGGCTCTTTTCTTCTCTTAATATGCCATCTGCTTTTTTTTTTCTTCTTTGAGACAGAGTCTCACTCTGTTGCCCAGGCTGGAGTGCAGTGGCACCATCTTGTCTAACTGCGTCCTCTGCCTCCTGGGTTCAAGCAATTCTCCTGCCTCAGCCTCCTGGGACTACAGGTGTGTGCCACCAGGCCTGGCTAATTTTTATATTTTTCTAGTAGTGATGGGGTTATGCCATGGGGTTTTAAATGTACTTGAAACACCACACAGCAAGGCCACTGAAATTGGGCTCCTAAGTCGCTGCTACTGTAATCAGTAAGATCTAGTTTGGGGGCTTCTAGTCTTTAAATAAGAACCAGACTGAACTTCTATGACTAAAGAAAAACTATTTTTTTTTTGTTTTAATCTTTATTCTCTTCAGTTATAAAAATACACTCCCTATAAAAGTGTTATGTTATAGAAAACAGAAAAGCCAAAAATTCCCCCAGAATCCCATCATCGGAGATGACTACTCCTCTTTGATAAGCATTCCTCCAGGTTTTCTAAGCATATAGTAATACATAAGCAGGAAAAAGTAAAATCCAACTACATAGATGCGACTACTCTTATGCAAGTTTTCAAATAGTTCTGACGGATAATTACGACCAATTTCTTCAGGGAACTTTAAGCACTAGTTTTCAGAGAAGATTCACTGACACTGTGGGTAGAAAAACCTCTAAGATTTTCTTATCATTTGTAATAAATATTGTTCCAAGTGTTAACAGTAAAATAGAGTTTTTAAAAATAGTAAATAAAGAAAAATAAATGTGATAGAAGAAAAGTTCAGAAAATCATCGCAGTTTCTGAATCATCGCAGTTGGCCAGGCTGGTCTCAAACGCCTGAACTCAGGTGATCCACCCACCATGGCCACCCACCATGGCCACCCACCATGGCCTCCCAAAGTGCTGGGGTTCCAGTCCGTGCCCGGACTGCCGAGTGCTTTTATGGTTGTTGTTGAATTCAGGTAGATACCATCTGCAGTTCTCAGCGTCACGTGAGAGTGCCCTGGATGGATGTGCTGTGTATCTTGTCATTAGACCATGGTGGTAATCACCACCAGAATGTCAGTTCCACAAGGGCAGGGATTTTGTCTATTTTGCTCACTGCTGAGGCCTAGGACAGTGCCTGACATGCAGTAAGTCCTTGACAGCTGGGCTTTCTTTTTATTGGCCTTAATTATTATCAGTAACTTAACAATAGCTATTGATTTTACAATCTACTGGAATTATTTAGTAAATTACTAAGTAGGTAATAATTTATTATTCACTGATGAGTAGATGACTAATACTGATGAGTAAACAGTTCTAGTTTTTGGAAAGAATGAATAAAAATAGTTGTGTATGGTTGTTTCTAGAATTCTTTTTTTTAAAAAATGCAAACTGTCTCATTTTGTTGCCCAGGCTGGTCTCAAATTCCTGACCTCAAGTGATCTTCCTGCCTGGGCCTCCCAAAGTGTTGAGATTACAGGTGTGAGCCGCCACACCCAGCCTGTTTCTAGAAATCTTATAGTCTTAATGATAAAGAATTAGCTTTATTATATTGAGTTGAAGGAAGAGGAATCTATTTTATTTCTGAATGGTGAGAGAAATATATATGAATTTTTTTTTGCACAAATGAGTTTTCATTGGTCATGTTGCTTTCTATTCCTTCTATGTAGGCGTAATTGTTAATGTTGCTGCAGAACAGATTCCCACACAACTTAGCAGCTTTACACAGCACACACGTTTATTATTCTACCGTGTTTGGGGGTCAGGAATCTGGGCACGGCTCCATGGGGTTCTCCGCTTCAGGATCTCTTACAGTTGCAGTCAAGGTGTCTGCGAGGGTTTGGGACTCACACAAAGGCTCTTAACTGCCATGTGGGCCTCCCCAGCATGGCGGCTTGCTTCATCAAAACCAGCAATGGAGGCTGGGCATGGTGGCTCACACCTGTAATCCCAGCACTTTGGTAGGCTGAGGCGGGTGGATTGCCTGAGCTCAGGAGTTCAAGACCAGCCTGGGCAACATGGTAAAACCCTGTCTCTACTAAAATATGAAAAATCAGCCTGGCGTGATGGTGTGCACCTGTAATCCCAGCTACTCAGGAGGCTGAGGCTTGAACCCGGAACGCAGAGGTTGTGGTGAGCTGAGATTGTGCCACTGCACTCCAGCCTGGGCAACAAAGCGAAACTCTGTCTCAAAAACCAGCAATAGAGAGAGGCTGTTGGCAAGAGGGAAGTCACAGGCTTAGGCCAATCACAGAAGTGACACCCATTACCTTTGCTGTATTCCATTGGTTAGAAGCAAGTTGCTAGGTCAGAGGGAGGGGATTATAGACAGGCACAAAATATCAGTAGGTTGGGATCTTTGGGAGCCTACTTAGAGTCGGCCTTCCCTCCTGGTAAGGTAGCAATGTGTTTACATAGCATTTACTATGGCTAGATGTTGTCCTAAGCACTTTTGGTATGTTACCTACTCAGTCTTTATGACAAATTGATGAAGTATAGATACTGTTATCACCCCAGTTTTACAGATGAAAAAACTGAAGCCCAGTGAGGTTACACAGTGTGTCTAGGTTCACAGACTAGTGAACGGCCAAGCTGGAATTTGAAGGATAGCAGCCAGGCCCTAGAGAGTGTGCACTTAATTTGGCTGTGAGTGACTGTGCATTTCAGACAAGCCTGCTGACCACATATGTTCCTGGTCCACAAACTGTTGACACATAACTTTTTAAAGCAACTCCTCTTCAGATTCAGTGTGGCTGAGCCAGTGGTTCACACTTGTAACTGCAGCACTTTGGGAGGCTTAAGTGGGAGGAACACTTGAAGCCAAGAATGTAAGACTAGCCTGGGCAACATACCAAGATCCTGTCTTTACAAATAAAAAAAAATTAACTGGCCATAGTGGTACATGCCGGTAGTCCCAGCTGCTCTGGAGGCTGAGATGGGAGGATCACTTGAGCCCAGGAGTTTGAAGCTGTCATGAGCTATGATTGCACCACTGCACTGGATGGACAGAGCGGGACCCTGTCTCAGAAAACAAAAAGGCTGGGTGTGGTGGCTTACGCCTGTAATCCTAGCACTTCGGGAGGCTGAGGCGGGAGGATCACCAGAGGTCAGGAGTTCAAGACCAGCCTGACCAACATGGCAAAACCCCGTCTCTTATTAAAAATACAAAAATTAGCCTGATGTGATGGTGGGCACTTATAATCCCAGGTACTCAGGAAGCTGAGGCAGGAGAATTGATTGAATCCAGGGAATAGAGGTTGCAGTGAGCTGAGATTGTGCCACTTCACTCCAGCCTCGGCAAAAGAGCAAAACTTTGTCTCAAAAAAAAAAAAAAAAGATGGGAAGGTTGTCATGAGGTACTGAAGATATAACAGCATCAGGCCGGGCACGGTGGCTCACGCCTATAATCCTAGCACTTTGGGAGGCCAAGGCGGGTGGATCACGAGGTCAAGAGATCGAGACCATCCTGGTCAACAAGGTGAAACCCCATCTCTACTAAAAATACAAAATTTAGCTGGGCATGGTGGTGCGCACCTGTAGTCCCAGCTACTTAGGAGGCTGAGGCAGGAGAATTGCCTGAACCCAGAAGGCGGAGGTTGCGGTGAGCTGAGATCGTGCCATTGCACTCCAGTCTGGGTAACAACAGCGAAACTCCATCTCAAAAAAAAAAGAGATATAATAGCACCAAATGGAGACTTTCTTGCTGAAGTGATCTGTGGGATTATTAGGGAATTGAAAGGGGGTAATTTTTTCGTTAGTGGTTTAAACAGGTGTCTGGTGTTGCCTGAATCATCTCTTGTTCTGCCTTCGGTTGTCCCTTACATTACCTTCCATTGATTTGGTCCCACCTGTTAGTTTATGAATGGGAAAGCTGAGGCCTGCTGAGTGGATCAGATGAGTGGTTGGCACAGAGGCTGTTTTCTCAGCCCCTGCAGCCATTTACATTTTATCTTTTGCATCCCCTTTGTTCTTCAAAAAATTATTTAAAAAAAATTTTTGTTTTTTAGAGATGGGGGGTACCCTGTTGCCCGGACCACTCCTAAACTCAAGCGACCCTCCCACCTTGGCCTCCCTAGGTAGCTGGGACTTCAGGCATGCAACACTGCCCCCAGCTCCCCTTGAGTCTTTCAGCAAAACTGAGGAATGACTTTGTGTTTTTTTTGGGGGGGGTAGACAGGGTCTCACTCTGTTGCCCAGGCTGGAGTACAGGTGGCATGATCTTAGCTCACTGCAACTTCCGCCTCCCAGATTCAAGCAATTCTCCCTCCTCAGCTTCCCAAGTAGCTGGAATTAAAGGTGCCTGCCACCATGCCCGGCTAATTTTTATATTTTTAGTAGAGATGGGGTTTCACCATCTTGGCCAGTCTGGTTTTGAACTCCTGGCCTCAAGTGATCCACCCACCTCAGCCTTCCAAAATGCTGGGATTTTAGGTGTGAGCCGCCGTGCCTGGCCAGGAATGACTTTTTTGATAGGTGTTTTCTTGGCAGTTAAAAAAAAAATGAACACAGTAACATTTTTTGGGAGCTGATGAACTTTTCCTGCTTCTGAGGTGCCCTGGAGTAGAAGATGAAGATCTGTGTGTTTTGGCAGAGTGGTGTTCTTTACTGATGTCGAAGTCTTTGCTATATTTGGAAGAGTAAAAGGCAGTCCACGAATGCATGATATCTTTGAAATGGAATGTGACCATTGCATTAGCAGTGTATAGAATTTCATATACTTTCTAAAGTTTTCTTGTTAAGCCATTTAGTTGTAATTTTAAAAATGGACCTGGTGGGTGCCACAGAGCAAGGAGGCAGTTGCAGGAGGATGGTGAATCCGTGGAAAGCGCGGCGTTTTTGCTGGCAGCGGCTGGGTGTGGGCTCCGCAGCAAGCCGGGAGCGGAAATCTCAACAGAGATTTTATTTTACTCCCATTTTGGGGTGAATTTGGGCTATTTCGGGGGTTGGCAGCAGTCACACAATTGCATACTTATATGAATGTATTTTTCTTTAAACATAAGATGAATGGGTATTTCTTTGAGATGGAGTTTCACTCTTGTTGACCAGGGTGGAGTGCAATCTGGGCAAACTGCAACCCCTGCCTCCCAGGTTCAAGCAATTCTCCTGTCTCAGCCTCCTGAGTAGCTGGGATTATAGGCACCTGCCACCATGCCTGGCTAACTTTTTGTATTTTTAGTAGAGGTAAAGTTTCACTATGTTGGTCAGGCTGGTCTCGAACTCCTGACCTCAGGTGATCTACCTGCCTCGCCTCCCAAAGTGCTGGGATTACAGGCGTGAGCCACTGTGCCTGGTGAATGGGTATTTCTTTATGAACACCTACTCTGTGGCCGGAACAGAGCCACAGTCTTTGCATGGTTTTCTAGTTTAAGCCTTGTGCATACCCTACCAGGGGGACATGCAGTTCTCGTTTTTTCATGGGGAAACTGAGGCTGAGAGGCTATGGATGGTGAGGCATCAGATATGAGGCTGCTCTTTGTCCTGCCTTCTTTCTGAATTGAAGCATCTAGAAAGTGCTGGAGAGATTTAGCAGCAGTCAAGCCAGGCTGGAGACAGAGCCTGATCTCTTGTCCCCTCCTCTTTCTGCTGTGATGGGGGGAAGGGCCAGCTGGCAGGTGGGAGGTAGAACAGAAATTCATCCTACGAACACATTCAGTCAGCAAACCCCTGGGTGCATGGACCTTAGCTGATGTCACCAACTGGCTGATGCCTTCAGGGGTTAGATAGTTAAGGAAAAAGAAGATGGGGAATGAATTGCAAAGACAATGCCCTGACTGAAGGCATTAAAATGACAAACCACCCATATCTGTACAATGGACTATAAAAAGGAATGAAGTTCTGCTTGCCTGCTGCAGCACAGATGCGTGAGTCACAGAGGACCTTGAGTTGTGTGATTCCTTTTATATGAAATGTCCAGACTGAGCAAATGCGGAGAGACAGAAGCAGATCAGTGGTCGTCAGGGGCTTGGAAGGAGGGGATGGGATACTGGGAGGTGAAGACTAAGTGAGGGGGAGTGGAATTTTTTTTTTTTTTTTGGGGTAATAAAAATGTTGTGAAATTGATTGTGGTGATAGATACACAACTCTGAGGTACTAAAAGCCATTGAATGTACACTTTAAAATGGATGGATGGTGTGGTATATGCATATACCTCAATAAGACAGTACTGGATTTTTAAGGGAAAAGAATGAAAATGACAACAGAGTAATCCCTCTCTCGAACCTACAGTGTTGGCCAAATAAAAGACATCTTGGGGCCGGGTGCAGAGGTTCCAGCACTTTGGGAGACCAAGGTGGGTGGACTGCTTGAGGTCAGGAGTTCAAGACCAGCCTGACCAACATGGGAAAACTGTCTCTACTAAAAATGCAAAAAAAAAAAAAAAAAAAGCCAGCCATGGTGGCATGCACCTGTAATCCCAGCTACTTGGGAGGCTGAGGCGGGAGAATTGCTTGAACCCAGGAGGCAGAGGTTGCAGTGAACCAACAGAGCAAGACTCTGTCTCACACACACACACACTCTCACACACACACACACACACACACACACACACACACAAAATCTGGGGGCCACATTTGGCCTTTCCCATTTCAGCTTGTGGGTATGGAAACTAGCTTTATGGTTGTAAAGTGCTATCACCATCCAGTACATGGAATTCGATGGAGATTCTTATCCTGTTAATGCCAGGGTTTCTTATTCTCAGTGTGGATGACATTTGGGGCTCATAGGTGGTTGGTTGGTGGGCAGGAATTCGATGGAGATTCTTATCCTGTTAATGCCAGGGTTTCTTATTCTCAGTGTGGATGACATTTGGGGCTCATAGGTGGTTGGTTGGTGGGCAGGGCCTTCTGTGCATTTAGCATGGTTCAGGCAGGATATTTAGCCGTGTCCCTGCCTCCACCCTCTTGATGCCAGTAGCAGCCCCTTCTTACTCCTGCACCAGTCATGACAACCAGAAATGCCCAGTGTCTCGTGAGGGACAAAATTGCCCTGAGTAGAGAACCTCTGCTTTATACAGACAGATTTTAGGTATTTGTCACCTGGAAAAGCCTCCAAGAAATGATCAGCTGAATTGTTTGTTTTTATCTTTCAGATGATGGACGCAATAAAAGGAACAATGACAGAAATATACAACGATCTTTCTAAAAACACTACTGGAAGCACAATAGCTGAGGTCAGAGATGACATATGAATTCCTTATTTGCTAAGAGTGTTTTATGGGCTGCTGTAAAGGTGGTACCAGGAAGAAGCTTCTTTGGAAACCCTGCTTGGGTCCTGACTCCGGTCACCAAGCTGGCTCTACTGATTGTGAATGTTGATGGGGGTATTTTTTCCTTTGGCCAGATGGCTGGGGCTGTGGAGACATGCCCTGCTTTGTGTGATCAATTCATTTCTAATTAAACAGCCAAAACTAGAGCCTCAGTTCACCTACTGGTGAAATTGGACACTGGTTCTTTTAGCTTTGTGTAAAACTGGCTCCTGCATTTTCTCTGTAAGTTTGACTTACAGAAAAGTCAAACTTCTCTCACATTATGACTTTTTAATACAGGTGCTTCTTGTGGTTCAAGAATTTGTGTGCTGGAGTCTCCATAATTATGTGATTGCCTAGAGAAGAAAGTGGTTAAAACATTTAATTGGCTGGGCATGGTGGCTGTAATGCCAGCACATTGGGAAGCTGTGGGAGGATTGCTTGAGGGTAGGCGTTTTAAGACCAGCCTGCACAACATAGTGAAACCCCATTTCTGCAAAAATATTTAAAAAATAAGCAGGAGATGGTGGTTCCTGGAGGAAGCTGAGGCAGGTGGATTGCTTGGGCCTAGGAGTTTGAGGCTACAATAAGTTATGATTGTGCTACTGTATTCCAGCTTGGGTGACAAGAGTGAGACCTTATCTCTTAAGGAAAAAAAAAAATTAAGCTATCCACTTACAAAGCGTCTACTTATAAAAATATACCTCCCTGAACTTCCCCTTTAGGCTAATTCCCTATCAGGACTTGGAGTGTCGGCCACTTGCTGGTTGTCTGTGGATGGTACAGTATGAGCCAGATGTAAACAGGTTATCAGGTGGAATGACAAGTGGCAGGACTTTCGGAGGTCATATTGAAGGTGATGTTGGAGAACTGCAGGAATCCTTTGCAGAGCCATTGACCTTTTAGGACTTGGCAGCATTAGGCTGGTGCTTAGGTGAAGAGGAGAAAATCTTCAGAAAGGCGACCTAGTGGTCCCTTCAACAGAAAACATTATGAATGCAAAGATTTAAGAGAGGCCCAAGAAAAATCAAGGAATCCCCTTGAATAGTTTTGCAAATATGACCTTTATGATTATACTTTGGACATCAAATAAGAAGGGAAAAAATAATGCTTTAGAAACACCTTCATTCTTGTTTGTACATTATAAGAATCAGAGTGTAATTAAAAATACAGGTTCATGGCTGGGTGTGGTGGCTCACGCCTGTAATCCCAGCACTTTGGGAGGCCGAGGAGGGCAGATCACGAGCTCAAGAGATTGAGACCACCTGGCCAACCTGGTGAAACCCCCCCTGTCTCTACTAAAATACAAAAATTAGCTGTAATCCCAGCTACTCAGGAGGCTGAGATGGGAGAATCACTTGAACCCAGGAGACGGAGGTTGCAGGGAGCTGAGATCGTGCCATTGCACTCCAGCCTGGTGACAGAGCAAGACTCCGTCTCAAAAAAAGAAAAAATGGGTTCATAATATTTCACCTGAAACCTTGGGTCCGGATGTATGCCAGAATTTTTTGGATTTTAGAGAGGTAATATGCAGTCCCCCACAATTAGAGACACCATTTCTGCAGTGAAATGTGATTGTTCACACTACATGAATAAATCAGGTTTCCTCAGCCTTAGCACTACTTTGCATCAGGTGAGTTTCTATTGTGGGGCTGCCCTGCACGTTGTAGGATGTTCAGCAGCATCTCTGTCCTCTACACACAGATGGCAGTAATGCTGCTCAGTTGTGACAACCACAAATGACTCCAGACATTTTCATGGCAGGGCAGAGTACGCGAAATTGCCCCAGTTGAGAACCACTGTGATAATTAAACACTGTTTGTTACTATTTTTTTAATTAAGTTTTTTGAGACAGTGTGTCGCTCTGTCACCCAGGTTGCTGCACAGTGGCATGATCTTGGCTCACTGCAACCTCCAACTCCTGGGTTCAAATGATTCTCGTGCCTCAGCCTCCCAAGTACCTGGGATTACAGGCATGTGCCACCATATCTAGTTAATTTTTGTATTTTTAGTAGAGATGGGCTTCTCCATGTTGGCTAGGCTTGTCTTGAACACCTGACCTCAGGTGATCTGCCCACCTTGGCCTCCCAAAGGGCTGGGATTATGCGTGTGTTGTGCCCGGTCAGAACACTGTTTAATTAGTTTCCTATTAGATCAGGTCAAGTTTATTTTTCTATTTTCCCTTCTAAATGAGTTTGGCCCCAAAGTGACACCTCCCCTACCCAGAAATACCCTTTGGTTTTCAGAGATGTCTGGCTTTAGAATTTTAGGTGAGTAAGTATGGATGCTAAATGATCCCCCATATTGTTATGTAAGAGAGGAAATCTAGCTATCTTCGTATTTGTTTCATAAAGACCAAAATCCTAATCAAACCTTTAAAATTATATATATGAAAGTCTGGTCCTTGTCACTTTAAGTGGCTTCTTTTTGTGCCAGCATTTCTTGGAATCGATGGCCTATGTATGCTTGGTTTTCTGAACCAGCGTTTCTGATGACCTTGGGTTCACCCACTGGTGTGCACCTCTCTGGACTATAGCTGTGGGAAGGTTAGCATGAGTCCCATACTCCTTACAGCCAGCCATGGCTGAGCTTCTGAGCCCTGCTGGTGAATTGAAGGAGGCAGCTTTTTAAGAGTCTTGTTCTCCCTCTTCCAGATCCGCAGGCTGAGGATCGAGATAGAGAAGCTCCAGTGGCTGCACCAGCAAGAGCTCTCCGAAATGAAACACAACTTGGGTAAGGCCTGACACACTGGTCTAAATGGAGGGGGGTTTTGAGTGTGAACTTCTTTGCACCTCTGGAGTCAAGCCCAGATGTGAATACAGTTAAAACTAGGCTAGGATTGTATGACTTAACAAGGGAGAACGCAGAACCCTGAGAGTGGCCTGGAGAAACCAGGTGTAAGACTGGGTATGTTGGTGGGAGCCCCTCTTTCCTCAGTTCAGAACATCAGCTTCAACAATAAAATGATGAGGACTGGTCAGACACAGCAGCTCACACCTGTAATTCCAGCCCTTTGGGAGACCCAGATGGGAGGATTGCTTGAGCCCAGGAGTTCAATTCCAGCCTGGGTGATCTGGCAAAACCCCATCTCTACACAAAATTTTAAACCATTAGCTGGGCCTGGTAGTGTGTGCTTGTGTTTCCAGCTGTTTGGGAGGCTGAGGAAGGAGGATCACTTGAGCCTGAGAAGTTGAGGCTGCAGTGAACTGTGTACCACTGCACTCCAGCCAGGGCAAACAAGCAAGACCCTATCTCAAAAAAATAAAAAGTAGGCCGGGCACGGTGGCTCATGCCTATAATCCCAGCACTATGGGAGGCCAAGGCGGGTGGATCACGAGGCCAAGAGATCAAGACCATCCTGGTCGACAAGGTGAAACCCCTTCTCTACTAAAAATATAAAAATTAGCTGGGCATGGTGGCACATGCCTGTAGTCCCAGCACTTGGGAGGCCGAGGCAGAAGAATTGCTTGAACACAGGAGGCAGAGGTTGCGGTGAGCCGAGATCACGCCATTGCACTCCAGCCTGGGTAACGAGTGAAACTCCGTCTCAAAAAATAAAAATAATTAAAACAAGGATCACTATAGTAGCTCCTGCTCTTGAAGCTTATAACTTTGTACATTTTAAATACTTTTTTATGAATTAACTAATTTTATTACAGAAGCTCTGGTGATAAAGGATCTGTTAGATCCCCGGTTTTTCCTTTTTTTTTTTCACACCTGCGTGCCATGGACCTATCCCCTGTTTTCAAGTGAAGAACCTGACATGTTAAGTTGTCGAAAGTCACATGGCCACAGTTCAAGTCTGGACAGTCTTCACCCTGTTCGTCATTGAATGCTGGGCACTTTAACAACATCTGGTTGCTTCCCACGCACCGCTCAGTGTGGAGAAAACTTCATTGGTCCCTGGATTAGATAGATGTTTTGGCCTGTCATTCTGTATAGATAAGCTTTTCACTAAAGGTAGAAGCGATTGCTTCAGACCGTCACATAGTATCAGACAGGTTGCTGGCAGCCAGCAGGAAAACTCTTAGGTTGGGGACCCAGGCCCGAGCATGCCTTCCTGCTCACCTGTGGTCTACGTCTAAGCCACACCTTATGGACTTCAGTCTCTTCAGAGCTGCCTGGAGAGGATCCCGTGGTTCATTCTTTTTAGACGCTTATTTGGATGTTGTTGCTTCTTCTCGTTTTCCTTTTTTTTAAGGCAGAGTCTTAGTCTGTCTTCCAGGCTGAAGAACAGTAGTGTAATCTCAACTCATTGCAGCCTCTGCCTCCCAGGGTCAGCCTCCCTAGGAGCTGGGATTACAGGTGTGCGCCACCATGCCTGGCTGAGTTTTGTACTTTTAGTAGACATGTGAAAGGGGTAGAATAGTAGTACTTATCCTGTAGGATTATTAGGATGAGGATGGTGTGAGTTAATAGTTATAAAGTACATAGAACAGTGCCTCCATGTAGTTAGTAGGTGCTATATGGGTATTTGTTAGGGGGAGAAAGGCTTATGTTAATGAATCATTGGACAGAAAGTGAGTTTGGTGGCGGCTGTTTCAAGGGTTACTTTGAAGAATTCCCAGAATGTAGTCTGGGGTTGAAAATCCCCTGGGGCTGGGGTTATCTCCACACTGGGCACCTCACATTCACTCTCAACAGGCAGCACCATCTGGTCGCTATGATGAATGTCCCGTTTATAGATGAAGACTCCAGCTAGGTTATTGCTCACATGCACACAGCCAGGGTTTTTCCCAGGCAGGTCTTGCACCCTTGTCTGCCTGAATCTGGGGGCAGGAATACTCCCATGCCCCAGGCTGCGGTCAGGTGATGAGCAGTGTTCCTTCCCCTCCATCAGAGCTGACCATGGCGGAGATGCGGCAGAGCCTGGAGCAGGAGCGGGACCGGCTCATCGCCGAGGTGAAGAAGCAGCTGGAGCTGGAGAAGCAGCAGGCGGTGGACGAGACTAAGAAGAAGCAGTGGTGCGCCAACTGCAAGAAGGAGGCCATCTTTTACTGCTGTTGGAACACCAGCTACTGCGACTACCCCTGCCAACAAGCCCACTGGCCCGAGCACATGAAGTCCTGTACTCAGTCAGGTAATGCCCCATGGGGCTGCCTTCTGTTCTGGGCTGCAGTGGCTGGGCTTTGCTCTCCCCTGTGGACCTCAGGGGTCTCACGGCTGATTGAGCAGGGAGCTTGCCTGGCTCCTGGTCACTCTCACTCAAAAGCAACTGTGTTTCTTCTGGTGAGCAGTGTGCAGGCGCGTGGCTGGGCAGATGCATAGCTTAGACATGAGCCATGGGCGTTTTGAACCTTTGATCTTTGTAGAACCCTTGATCTCTTCTGAGGCCTAAAATGTCAGTAGTTTGAAGTTGAGACACTCTTTTTTTTGGGGCAGTAATGGACTTGTGATTTTAAATAATAGGGATTCCCAATTTCTTTAAGTAAAAAGTGTTGGTTTGGAACTAACCTGTGTTTTACACTGCTGTAATATTTATAATCAACCTTTCTAACATAGAACAAGCAGTCCTCAGGCCTAGAGCCTCCAGCAGGAAGCACTATCTAGTTAGAATTTATCAATATTATTTTATAAATTATTACTTTTAGACAGAGTTTTGCTCTTGTCCCCCAGGCTGGAGTGCAGTGGTGCAGTCTTGGCTCATTGCAGCCTCCGCCTCCTGGGTTCAAGTGATTTTCCTGCCTCAGCCTCCTGGGTAGCTGGGATTACAGGCACATGCCACCACGCCCAGCTAATTTTTGTATTTTTGATAGTGGGTTTCACCATGTTGGCCAGGCTGGTCTTGAACTCCTGACCTCAAGTAACCCAGAGTGCTGGGATTACAGGCGTGAGCCACCATGCACAGCCTATAAGTTATTTTTTACAGTTAGCTTTCATTTATGGCAAATGATACTACATTTGTATGCTTGGAATTAAACACTTCCATTTTAAAGAATTTCAAGTGTCACATAAATAATACAATCAGGTAGTATGTCTGCAGATTGGCAAAATTTGCAGAGGTGGTGTGTAAATGACTCAAGTGTGAGAACCTTGACCAGAGGTTGAGTGAATATTTTAGGCTTTGTACACCATGTGGTTTTTGTCCGTACTACGTAACTCTGCTGTTACAGTGCAGAAGCAGCCGTAGATGAAATGTGAATGGATGGATGTGGCTGTCCACCAGTAGAAGAGTCGTCGCTTGCCAGCTCTTGCTCTAGACAAATCTGTTAGTATTTATTAAATGGCAATATTGGAGCATACCTTGCTCTGTTCTTTAGTCTTCAGGGAGATGTCTTTTTTGTAGAGACTTTTGATCTCTTCCTGGAGTAAAGTCTCCTTGTATTTTCCCTAAGTTCTGGAATGTGTCTGATGAGCCTGTTGCTGTTTTGCCAAGATGGCCAAAGTGTCCTTCAGGCCTTCCTTTTTTGTGACATAATTACATCTGTTCTTCCTAAATTCCTCCCAAACGCCCTGTTTTTCTGTGTGTCCAAGTTTCTGCCACCTCCAGATGCTCTGGGCCTCTGACAGCATGTCATCTGTCACATGGTTTTCCTGTCCCACCTTAGAAGGAAGCAAGTCCCTGGGGCTGAAAATCCAGGTCTCCACCTAGAAGTGATTAAATAGAGTAACTCTAAATCAGCAGTTGCAGGCTGGCTCTTGTTAATGGGCTTAATTTGTTCCAAGAATATATTTTCATCTCCAGAATGATTTAATAAAACTTGAATTGCTAACCATTAAAAATCAACATGTTGACTGGAAGTGGTGGCTCACACCTGTAATCCCAGCACTGTGGGAGGCCAACGTGGGCAGGTCACTTGAGGTCAGGAGTTCAAGACCAGTCTGGCCAACACTGTGAAACCCCGTCTCTACTAAAGACACAAAAATTAGCCAGGTGTGGTTGTGGGCACCTATAGTCCCAGCTACTTGGGAGCCTAAGAATAGAATCTTTGAACCTGGGAGATGGAGGTTGCAGTGAGCTGAGATCATACCACTGCATTCCATCCTGGGAGAGAACAAGATTTCATCTCAAAAAAAATCATGTGTATGTTAAAATTAGGAATTTCAGCTTCTGGAAAACTCTGGCAATCCACCTCCCTCGAGCCTACATCCTACCCAAGGGTAGGGCTAAGCCTTGGGTGCTACGGGGTGCAGGACGGAGCTCCAGGCATGTTTCAGAATTATCATACTGTGTGTACACGTGACATCTCTGCCTCTCCTTTGTCCCCAGCTACTGCTCCTCAGCAGGAAGCGGATGCTGAAGTGAACACAGAAACACTAAACAAATCGTCCCAGGGGAGCTCCTCGAGCACACAGTCGGCACCTTCAGAAACGGCCAGTGCCTCCAAAGAGAAGGAGACGTCAGCTGAGAAAAGCAAGGACAGTGGCTCGGTGAGGATCCCCCCTTGGCTTTGGCTGGTGACATCAACCCTTTGTGCCAAGTGGACTTAATACCCCATGTCTGCCACCCCTGAAAGTTTCATGTTGTGGGAGGCTTGTCTGGAGGAATGCAGAGTCTTAACCAGTGTGCCAGAATTTCTTGTAGGTGTGTGGGAATATGGAGCCTGAGCTGGTGTGTGTGGGGCCTGGCACCTGCCCCCCAGTATTCTCCCCTGGGGACTCTCAATGTGTAGAGTAATGTTGCCCAGAACTTTCTATGATGAAGGAAATGTTCTGTACCTCACATCCATATGGTAGCTGCTAGCCACATGCAACTTTTGAGCACTTGAAATGCAGCTAGTGTGACCGAGGACCTGATTTTACAATTTAATTTAATATCAATTAATTGTGATTTTAGTAGCCACCTGTGGCTAGTGGCAGCCATATTGGGCCATGAAGGTTTCACCTCCTTGTTTGCCAGGGTGTGATGTATATGACATTGATGGTATGCAGAGATTATTTTTGTGAGTATATAAATAGTTTACATTTTTAATCATTGTATATCTATTTCAGTGCATGTTAGCAAAAAGGTAAATCATTAGACTGTCAGTTAAAACATGTTTTCACTGATAGTATTGTCTAATCAGAGACTAGCATCAATTAAAAGCAAACTGAGGGCTGGGCGCGGTGGCTCACGCCTGTAATCCCAGCACTTTGGGAGGCCGAGACGGGTGGATCACAAGGTCAAGAGATTGAGACCATCCAGGTCAACATGGTGAAACCCCGTCTCTACTAAAAATACAAAAAGTTAGCTGGGCATGGTGGCGTGTACCTGTAATCCCAGCTACTCAGGAGGCTGAGGCAGGAGAATTGCCTGAGCCCAGGAGGCGGAGGTTGCGGTGAGCCGAGATCGTGCCATTGCACTCCAGCCTGGGTAACAAGAGCGAAACTCCTTCAAAAAAAAAAAAAAAAAAAAAAAAAAGCAAACTGATAGAATTTTGAAGTAAGTAAATCTGGAGAGGGGTCTGTTTGTGGAGTTTAGGGAACACTGAATGTTGGAGGGTTCTAGGGTGGAGTCGGGTCACCCTGATGCTGTGTTCTAGCCTGTTCCGTGTGGGAGATGGCACCAGGGTTTGGCCACCTGGCCGCCCTGTGCCCATCATTCCCACCTGACCGTGCCAGGCAGAGGGCACTGAGATGCTTTGGGGGCAGTGATGTAGCACCCTCGTGGCTCCCTGGATTTCCCTGCGGGGACTCGATTGGCCTCAGTGCCTTGAGTTCATCTTTTTCTTGTATTTCTAGACCCTCGATCTTTCTGGCTCCAGGGAGACGCCCTCCTCCGTTCTCTTGGGCTCCAACCCAGGCTCTGGTATGTTGCCCCCTTGTGGGCGAACTATACTTTCACATTTCAGATGGGCAGATGGGGAGCATTGGAAGGGTTTATTCCCGTGGTTTTCAAAGGATTATGGATCCTTAGGGGTGGCTGGGGTGGGTTAGTGGGGGTGAGGGGGTAGTTGAGCATGTTAACTTTCGAGTACGTCTGTCCATGTGGACAGAGGGTTCTGTTACTGACCTGGGGTGGGGTAGAAGAAGTGCATTTGGACTGCGTAGTCTATTTGCTCTCAGGGAAAAAATGAGCATGGTAAAAGGCTTGATTCAGAGGTCTTAACACCTGTGTATGGTAGATGAAGGTGCTCAAGCCTTTGAGAAATGAAGGCAGTGCTTAGGTGAATGATCTTTCTGTAAAATCCTTTGCTTTTGGGGAATCACCTGGCAGGGAGATTTGGGGAAATCTGAGACTTGACATCGGGAGTTTTTCTTCTGTGAGGTTTGAGCTGCTTTCCTTTCCATAGACCAAAGTGTCTCTTTCCTGTACTTTGTTAAAGCAGTTTTAGGTGATTGCAGAAGGGTTCGGAGAAGGTGCCTAACTGGAGGAAGACAGTTTTACTTCCGTCAGGGTTTTTCCTGGCACCACAGCTCCAGAACCTTTCTCCCTGCTGATTCTTTTGAGACAGTCTCACAGCTGGAGTGCAGTGACGTGATCTTGGCTCACTGCAACCTCCATCTCCCAGGCTTATGTAATTCTCCTGCCTCAGCCTCCTGAGTAGCTAGGATTATAGGTGCACACCACCATGCCCAGCTAATTTTTGTATTTTTAGTAAGAGATGGGGTTTCACCATGTTGATCAGGCTAGTCTTGAACTCCTGACCTCAGGTGATCCACCTTCCTTGACCTCCCAGAGTGCTGGGATTACAAGCTTGAGCTACCAAGCCCAGCCCTCCCTCCCTCCCTCCTTTTGACAGAGTCTTGCTCTGTCACCCAGGCTGGAGTGCAGTGATATGAGCTCAGCTCACTGCAACCTCTGCCTCCTCAGTTCAAGTGATTCTCCTGCCTCAGCCTCCTGAGTAGTTGGGACTACAGGCGTGCATCATCAAGTCCAGCTAATTTTTTGTGTTTTTACTAGAGACAGGGTTTCATTGTATTGGCCAGGCTGGTTTTGGACTCCCAACCTCAAGTGATTCACCCACTTTGGCCTCCCAAAGCGTTGGGATTACAGATGTGAGCCACCGTGCCTGGCCGGACACCTGTGTTCTGATGCAAGTTTTCCTTTTTTTTCATCAGCCTATGATTCCACTGTCCATGGTGGCCATTTCTCAAGTTCTCTGCTCTGTTTAGGACCTCCCTGCACCTCACGCTGCATCACCATCCTGGGTGCTCAAGGCTGCCCCTCTGCGGGGCCTCCGTGGTGCGCTCTGTCCTTCCCTCCTGACATTCAAGGCATCTGCATTCTTTGTTGCAGCCAGATTTCTCACTCTGTACTGCTTTTCTTCCTGGGCACTGTAATATGCTCATGTATCTCCAAGTGCCTTCCTTGACACCTTGCATCTCCAATAGAACATTCTGTGACAATGGCCATGTTCTTTTATTTGCACTGTCCACTGTGGTGACCACTGGCCACCTGTAGCTACGGAACCTTTGAACTGTTGGCTAGTGTGACTGAGGAATAGAATTTCACATTGTGTCTGATTTTAGTGGTTACCATATTGAATGGCACAGCTCAAGACCCGTCCTGTCTCCTTCCTCAACCCAGTTAGATGTCTCCTCAAGGGTTGCTATTCTCGAGCTAGGTGCACCGGTAGTCCCAGCTACTTGGAGAGGCTGAGGCGGGGGTCACTTGAACCTACGAGTTTTGAGGCTGCCGTGAGTGACTGAATAGCCACTGCACTCCAGCTGGTCAACAGAATGAGACGTCATTCTAAAAAAAGAGGCTGGGTGCTGTGGCTCACGCCTGCAGTCCCAGCACTTTAGGAGGCCGAGGCAGGCGGATCACCTGAGGTGGGGAGTTTAAGACCAGCCTGACCAACACGGAGAAACCTCATCTCTACTAAAATACAAAATTAGCTGGGCATGGTGGTGTGTGCCTGTTATACCAGCTACCTGGAAGGCTGAGGCAGGAGAATCACTTGAACCCGGGAGGCGGAGTTTGCAGTGAGCCAAGATCACGCCGTTGCATTCACATGCTCCACTGCTCATACGACAGTTTCTATCCTGAACTCCACTGTCCCCATAAGTCATTAACAGGCCTGCACATTTTTATTTTTAAATGTTGCTTTGAAACCTTTTTTGTTCTTAAGAAACAGGAGTTGCCCAGGCTGGCCTTAAACTTGGCCTGAGCTCAAGCGATTCTCCCGCCTCAGCCTCTTGAGTAGCTGGGATCACGGGCATGTGCCACCATGCTCAGCAGCCAGACGTTTCTTAAAAGATGACCAGATTGGCTAGAATCATGGTGTCTTCCTGTCAGAAAGGGCCTCCTCTCCAGGGTTTGAACAAAGATTGAGGTGCACTCAGAGCTACACTAAAAGAGATTTAGCCCCACATTTAGGTCAGCTGTGGTGTCTCATGCCTGTACTTCCAGCACTTTGAGAGGCCAAGGCGGGCGGATCATTTGAGGTCAGGAGTTTGAGACCAGCCTGACCAACATGGTGAAACCCTGTCTCTACTAAAAGCACAAAAAATTAGCTGGGTGTGGTGATGCACCCCTGTAATCCCAGCTACTCAGGAGGCTGAGGCAGGAGAATTGCCTGAACCCAGGAGGTGGAGGTTACAGTGAGCCGAGATCATGCCACTGCATTACAGCCTGGGTGACAGAGGGAGACTATCTCAAAAACAAGAGATTTAGTTCCACATTTAGGACTTGGAAAGAGGCTGGGGAAGAGTCCCATCAGCACAGTGAGAGCATCATGGAGCCCATGGTCAGAAACTAGCAGGAAAAGTGCTTTGCAGTCAGTGCTGCAGTGATTCTGAGTGGGTGAGAAGCGGCAGGGAGGCTGCAGGGGCCTGTGTGGGAATGCAGCGTCAGTCTTTCCGAGTTTCTCACCAAAGCAGTTTGTGTTGACGGGTCACATCAAGGCAGAAAGACTTCCTCAGTTTTGATCCCCTTCTAATTCCTCACTGTCTCACTTCACTTCTGCCAGCACTTGCTTTCTGGTGATAGTGCACGTTACCTATCCAGAAGGAACGTGGCTTTTAAAAACATCAAGGCTTCTGAGTTATTTTTGTTCATCAAGTACTAGGACGGTACATCTACGGTCTAGTTGGAATGGAGAGAATTTTAGTAGGGTATGAGCTCCCTTAGTACGTGGACCTGGGCCTCTCCTGTTCGTCTTTTAATTTTAAGGTTTTAGTCAAAGCTATATATGCATAGAGTTGCAGAGAATAAAATAGTGCAGGGAAAAACTCTTCCTAGTTCTAGTTTACACTGCTGTTTCTGGTCCTCCTGTTACCTCCTTGCTAATAAATAATGTACTTGCTTGTACCTCTACTTCCTGACTTTAGGTATTACTTGTTGACTTCCCAGCTTTAAAAGATGGGACTTGCTCTTGTCTTCCTCTTCCCACACTACTGACATTACTAGTTTATGTGCTGTTTGGGTTATCTTGCTCCAAGAAAACACTCGCCCCTTAGCTCTTTTGTTTTGTCAGCTACGGACAGCATCTCTTGACCCCTCTTGGCAGCCCACTTCTCCTCACCTCTCCCACCCCTCTCAGAGCCAGGCTTTCCACTGGCCCCGACTTTCCCATCGTCAAGGTTGAGAACATGTACATTCTGTTCTATAACTGCCGTCAAGCCTCACTCTTGTCTGTTGGCTTAGTCTAAAAAGTTGCAATGTGACAATTCTTAACTTACAAGACCATATATATCATTCATGGCGGAGTCACATAGTGTACTGTGATTACATTTCCATTATTTTACAGCCTTACTTTTTCCTGGAGTTTGTTTTCTCCCTTGTCGTACTTTGTTTTCCTATGAAACTTCTCACCGTATCAGTTATTTGTACTGACTTCTTTCATATCACTGTTTTTGGACTCTGATTTCAGATGTGATTTGTTGGTGTCCTGCCATCGTAATCAAGAATTTCATTTCCTTGCCACCTCATCCAGAGCCCCTTCCTCCATCCTTCTCACCACGTGTGCCTTCTCCATCCTCTCCTCCCTATTCTGTTATCACTGTGGGCAGTCGGTTAGTTACTACTTGCCTTAAATTGTCTGGATTTCTCTGGTGGTGCCTTCAACCATAGCATGTTTCTAGTGCCTGCCTCTGTTTCCCATGGTTAAATTAGGCTATTTGTAGAGCCAGTGGTTCTGAGAATTTGTGGCTTACATAAATGCTGAGTTGCTTTTATGTCACTGTATACCTTATTTCCTACCTGTAGTGCTGTGCTGTGTCCAGTGATCCAGTTTGTGGTTTGATAGGCATTTTTAAAGAGCCTTCGTCTCCTGTGCTTTGCATTAAGTTGGTCAGTGGTGACATGAATGAAGGCGCCAACTGGTTCTAATAATAGTAGCCTGTTGATGAACAAAAATAGTAAGCACTCGGGGGTGTGCGGAAATCCAGCTCTCACAGACTCTGAGGCTACCTGTGCTATCTCTTCAGTTAGCAAAAGGTGTGACAAGCAACCTGCCTATGCCCCAACCACCACAGACCACCAGCCGCACCCCAACTACCCCGCCCAGAAGTGTAAGTATGACCCTGTCTTGTGGAAGCTGCCGGGGCCTCTTCCTGGCATGCAGAAGGCTTGTTCTGTGTGTGTCTGTGTTTTTCTCTATGGGTGTGTCTTCTCCTGTTCTTTCGAGTGGCGGGTCTTCCTTTGCAACATTTCTTCTTCTCTGCGCCTCTGGTCGCCATCACAAACCACATTAGAAAATGACAGTGAGCGTGTGGCCTGGCTTCTTGGTGGAGATGGTCCTCGCTCTCTTCATAAAGGGTCCTAGATGAACAACGATTCCGCCCGCTGTGGTGATTGGTTATGTCACCCAGTGTCCCCTGTTCTCTCCATATGGGGAGTGAGGGCCTGCAGACCCCTCTGTTGGCCAGCCTGGTGCTGGGAGAGATAGTGAACTCAGCTTGGCCCTGGTCCTGTTTCTTCCAGTACCCGCCCCTGGTCTGTGCCCCCACCAGAGCTGGAAGGACTTGACACGGGCTGACTGCATCACTCTGGGACTTTCACGGATGGGGATGACCAACTCCATCACTCCCCAGAGTCCTTCCGAGGAACTAAAAGCATAGGCATGGCGGCTAAGGGAAGAAGGCATAAGGAGGCCATCTGAGGACTGTTAAGAAGACTGCCTTTGTCCCCAGCTCTGCCCACATAATATTGCCCCCTCTTGGTCAATGATACAAGCGACTAAGGAGTTCCCTCCTGAGTTCTCCCCACATGACTTTGGAGATCTTTGTCCTTCTCTTCACTGCTTATCTTCCGGAACTCATGACACCCGCACATGCCTTTTTACCAGGCAGGAAGAAGTGCAGTCCCCTGGGTAGTAGCGGGGCCCCCTCCCTGCCCCACTCCTCTCTTTCCTTTAACCTCTTTCAACCAGACATTATCACCCACCTCAAGACATTAAAACGTAATTCTGTCCCAGTCTGTCTGAACTTGTTAAATGATCCAAGATGTGATGGATCTTAGTAGTTGGCTGGAAGGTTTCTCCCAGTCAGCTGCAGCAGAACCGGCAGACCTGGGCTGTTCGATAAAATGCTCTTCACAGACGCCTCATTGCCTGTTCCTTCAGCTTCTTCATTTATTTCTTACTCATTCACTACTCAGCTCCATGTCTGTGTCCTTGAAGCCATCCCAGGTCTTACTCTGGTTCTGGATCCTTCAATCACCCATAAGCTTGTCCTTACCAGGAGTCAGTGGTGTTCCCAGGTGGACTTAACCATTCTCCTTGATGATCCTCTCCCTTGGGTGGACAAGTGTGACTTGGTTATAAAGTCCATTTTTCAAGTTGCCTATATATTGATAAAAGAAATCCCATTAATGGAAGTAGACTGCATGCCACATTTTGGTGTCTTTCTCCAGGGGCCAAGGTTGGACCCAGAAGTGCATGGGGTGCTTGGTGTCGCTCAGTCACGTAGTAAGGGTACACAGTTCCAGACACGGCGCAAGAAAGGCCTTCCTTGGCGGTTCAGAACCTTTTTCACACATCTTTATTCTCTGTGAGCATGACACCCTATTGTTTTTCTAACTAGCTCGTTAAATCCGAAAAAACAAGCTGTTCTACCTTACTATGCTGCAGACCCACAGACGCAGGGCAGTCAGTGGTGGCAGTGTGTGAACCATGAGTGGGGAGGGCAGGTCAGATTGCAGGATAGTTATGCTCAGGTACAGGTGGGCAGGCATGGTAAACATGTTGGCTTTCCTCCCCAGACCATTCCCGGAGTAGCAAATCCAGCTGGAGCAGCAGCGATGAAAAGAGGGGATCGGCACGTTCCGAGCACAACACCAGTACCAGCACAAAGAGTCTCCTCCCGAAAGAGTCTCGGCTAGACACCTTCTGGGACTAGCAGCAAATCGGGTCACAAACCGTCCATCCCATGGGGAGAAAAACCCAGACGCCAGGAAAAGGAGAAATGACAAAGACAGGAGAACAGCCACCTTCAGATTGGAGAATGACGAACCCTCAGACGGGCCTGAGATCCCGGCGCAGGGGCTTTTACACTACAGGACGCCCTGCATCGGCTTTGACTGCGGACCGTTCACCCACATGAGCCCTGTGCGTTAAGTGTAAATAATGTACAATTTGTGGATGCCACTGAACCTAGAGGACCTTCCCCTTTTTATATTTGTATTAACTTTAACTTATAAAAAAGAAAAAAACAATTACAAAAACAAAAAAACAACCCCAACAACAAAAAGAATGTTCTGGTGTTGAAGAAGGGATGGTCAGTTAGTCCATACGTCACACAATGGAATGGAAGCTGGGCCCGGGGATGGCTTTCACACTCACGTCCTCATCCTTGGTTACCCGGGGAGGGAGGGGGCAGCCGTTTTCACTCACGCATCTGTACTCAGCATGCTGGGATCAGGAGTTCTGGCACAGACTCTACCCCATGAAGCCATTGGCTCCTTTCAGCTACTACGTTACAATGTTCCTAAAACGCAAGCTCTCTGGACCAGATGGACACAGGGAGAAGCTAGTTTATTTCATGTGATTTAAATGATTCTACTCCTAAAAGGGAAAACACACGAGGTCCTTGTTTACAGAAGAGAAACAGAAACAAGCCCCATTTAGCTCCATTGCAGAAGAGGAGAGCATAGAAAGTGTTAGGATCATGAACTCTGGAAAAAAAAAAAAAAAATCTTTGCTTTGCTTTTGTGATTCCTTTAAACACACACTCACACACTTGGTCAGAGACGCTGCGCTTCCTGGAAGCGAGGACTCAGAGGCAAGGCGCACGCAGAGGACATTCGAGTCTGGGATGAAGCATGTACGTATTATTTATATGATGGAATTTCACGTTTTTATGTAAGCATGAAACAAAGGCAGTATGAGAGAAAGCAACACCCCGTCATGCTGTCCGTGACACTACGTATGCTGTAGAACCATTTTGTATGTGTGTAAAACAAAAAGCATTGATCAAAAAGCAAAAGGTGATGTATGTATATGAGCATATTAACTGTACGATGTCATTCCAGTACGTTTTGTTGTACATTTTAGTCTCGTTTACTTTCTCTTCATTGTTAAGAGGATGCGAACTGTACAGTTTCCAGCTAGTTCCCCATATTAGAGAAGAAATACGAAGAGAGTATTAGAAGAAAACAAAGAACATTTGTGAATTGCAGTTGTCAAAAAAAAAAAAAATAGCCTAGCTGGCCTTATTTGTGAAGCATAATTGCTTTTAGCATATGGAAGTATTTTTTCACATTTTCTTTGTATAAAATTTGTATTAAACTTAAATATCTTTTTGATGGTGGTGTTTCTTTGTGGCTGAGCCAGTAGACTCACGGTATGCTTTTTTTGGGGTTCCCATTGCTTCTCCTGCCCCTCCAATTTTTTCAGATTTCTCCACCTTTTTAAAAATTAAACCGTTTTGGAAAAACGCCGTGGTCGTCCTCGAATCTGCAGTTTTCCATTTAGTCCGGTGGCTGTGTCAGATTTGCATGACCAAACCCAGAAGGGGAGGCCACAAACACCCCCCACAGCCTTGTGGTGGCACGTTGGCGAGAATGGCCCTTCGTGGGGGCTTCCCCTGCCCGTCCTCATCAAACAGTTGGGAGAGGAGGGAGTTGTCTTCCTGAGGCCAGTAGGGAGGCCGAGCTAACGGGACTCACGTAGATGGCAAGGGTGCCGGCCCTTCACCAGGTGCCCTGGTCCACTGCTTGGCCTGGCTGGAGGTATGCAGGGTGTGAGTAGAATGAAGCCAGCTTGAAAGGCTGAGGTTTGGTTTCCTGGGTGGCAGTGTCCTTTCTCGAATCCAGTAGCTCCCCAGAAAAGATCTCCACAAACCACCTTCCTGTGCCAAGGGCCAACACACGTCATGGCCGGCAGGGGAGCTCGGCCCGCATGGGTATAAATTCATTTGTGCCAATCAGCAAACACGCATCGCATCAGGCACCGTCAGGGAGTCGGGTCCCTGCCTTCACCAAACTTGCATCTCAACAGGGACAATCAGTTACTCAAGTATTACAGGGGACCTTTCGTGAGCCCTGCACAATTTCAGTTACTGGGGACAGATGGGGAGCAGGGCCCAGGAGTCCTGTCATGGTTGGCCTCACGTTCTTCACAGGAAGACATACCATCTACAAATTATTTTTTGAGACGCAGTTTGTTACCCAGGCTGGAGTGCAGTGGTGCTATCTCAGCTCACACTCAACCTCCGCCTCCCAGGTTCAAGATTCTTGTGCCTCAGCCTCCTGAGTAGCTAGGCATTCAGGCGTGCACTATCATGCCCGGCAAATTTTTTTGTATTTTTAGTAGAGACGAAGGTTTCACATATTCCCTAGGTTGGTCTTGAACTCCTGACTTCAAGTGATCTGCTTGCCTCAGGCTCCCAAAGTGCTGGGATTACAGGTGTAAGCCAGTGCACCGGACTTTTGTCTTTTTTTTTTTTTTTTTTGAGACAGTCTCACTGTCACCCAGACTGGAGTGCAGTGACGTGATAGCCCACTGCAGCCTCTATCTCATGGGTTCAAGTGATTCTGCCTCAGTCTCTTGAGTAGCTGGGGCTACAGGTGCCCACCACCCATGCCTGGCTAAGTTTTCATTTTTAGGGTTTTCGCCATGTTGGCCAGGCTGGTCTTGAACTGCTGGTCTCAGGTGATCTGCCTGCCTCAGCCTCCCAAAGTGCTGGGATTACAGGCATGAGCCACCGCACCCGGCCCCAAGTCATTTTTTTAACTGAGAAGAATGTTAACTTCCTGTTCCTGGGCATGCATGTACAGCTTCCCTCTCTTGTCTCATTTCGTCCTGAAGACCAGAGAGGGGAGAGGCCATGGCTATGGGGTGGCGGGGGGCGGGTCATCCGTTGTCTTCTTTCAGCTCCCACCTTTCTTCACTTCTGCACTCTGCTCCTTCAATCTGGCACCCTCCTTCGTGGCTGCCACCCAATTCTTCAGATGTTACCTCTGAAATAGCTACATGCCCACTGGCCCCTCGTGCCCTCAGTGTTTTCTTCATATCCCTGAGCAAAGGGTATGGACATTTTTAACTTTTCCTGTGTGTCTCACTTGGATGTGAGCTGGGCGAGGGAGGGACTCTGTTCCCTGCTATGTCCCCAGGGCTGGGACACAATGAAGGTCATGCAGCTCCGGAGTAGCGAGCAGCACAGTGTTCAAATGCAGAGGCCACCTTGAGGTGTCCCAGTGCACCCCCCATCCAGCTTCTGTTGCAACCTCCCTTAGAAGCAAAGACATCCAAGGAAGAAGTAGCTTGCTGACTCAGAGATAGAGAAATGGTTTTCGATCAGGTTCAACAGCCACATGACTCAAAGCTGAAGATATGAAAGGGTCCACAGGATAAAGCCTCTCCGCTGTGCCACCCTGGTCCCCTCCAATTCCTCAGGGAAGAGTCTGTATTTACAAACAAATGCAGAGACATTTTTCTCTGCTTTTTCTTTCTCTTTTAAATTATTATTTTTTGAGACAATGTCTTACTCTGTCACCGAGGCTGGAGTGCAGTGGTGCCATCTCGGCTCACTGCAACCTCTGTCTCCCAGATTCAAGTGATTCTCCTCCCTCAGCCTCCTGAGTAGTTGGGATTAAAGGCACCTGCCAACATGCCCAGCTAATTTTTGTATTTTTAGTAGAGACAGGTTTCATCATGTTGGCCAGGCTGGTCTCAAACTCCTGGCCTCTGATGATCTGCCCACCTCGGCCTCCAAAAGGGCTGGGAGTACAGGTGTGAGCCACTGTGCCCGGCCTGCTTTTCTACATAAATGGTAGCATTTCATACACATTCTTCAGCCCTGTCCGCGTGCCCTGTTTTAAAAAAAACTGAAGCCTTGAGTACTGATCCATATTGGTGCAGTTCAGAGCACCTCTATCCACTTTTAGGGGGTGTGATGTCTGCTATGTGGGCAAGGGATAATGCATGTGGCCAGTCCCCAGCTGGCGGACATTCAGATTGTCCCCAAACTCTGGCTATAGCAAACAGCCCTGCAGTGAGTACCATCACAAAGTGACTCCCCAGGCTCCTCTTAGCTGCCCACTGGGGTGGTTATTCCACTCTTTGTGCAGCTTGGAAAACTGTGGCTCAGGGGTTACATGAGTTTGGAGGGGGCCAGGTTTTTAGTTGCAAATAACAGAATCTACTCTGGTTAATTTGAGCACTCCGGTCTGCTTCTCAGGCCACACCAACGGGTCAGTGAGAGGCCAGGTAGGAGGGGAAGGAATTGAGGGTTCCAGTCTGGGTTGAGTGTTTTCAAGATGGGAAGAAGAGGGAGAGACAGTGGGGTCTGGTGAACCTGGCAGAAGCTGCCAGGTCCTTGCTGACTTCCTTCGACAATGACCTGGTTAGGAACCGGCTCAGACCTTTTCATGCAGTCCAGCACGCTCGCCATCTGGTGGCTACAGGCAGAATTGCAGCTTGTGGAGCCATCTGGCCCACTGGGGACAGCGAGCACATGGGCCAAAATAGTCTCTGTACCTATTTATCTGACACTCTCATTGGGAAGCAATTTGATACCTGTATGCATGTAATATGATCCTAGGTGGGCTAGATGCACCAAAGATGAAGAGGGTGAGTTGTGTAGGGAGATGGTGTGTTTGGGGGCCCTTTCTAGGGGGCCGATCATTGAGTAGAAACCTGAAGGGGGTTCTTTCCAAGGGGACTGAGCCCATTTATTTATTTGTTTTTTGAGACAAGGTCTCACTCTGTGCCCAGGCTGGAGTGCCGTGGCGACATCTCTGCTCACAGCGACCTCCGCCTCCCAGGCTCACGCCATCCTCCCACCTCAGCCTCCTGAGTAGCTGGGACTACAGGCACACACTACCATGCCCAACTAATTTTAAAATTTTTTTGTAAAGACAGGGTTTCACCATGTTGCCCAGGCTGATCTTGAACTCGTGAGGTCAAGCGATCCACCTACCTCGGCCTCCCAAAGTGCTGGGATTATAAGTGTGAGCCTCTGTGCCTGGCCATCCATTTTATTTTACCTTTTTTTTTTTTAAGATGGTTCACTCTTGTTGCCTAGGTTGGTGTGCAATGGCACAATCTTGGGTCACTGCAACCTCCTCCTCCCGGGTTCAAGCAATCTCCTGCCTCGGCCTCCCAAATAGCTGGGATTGTAGGCATGCGCCACCATGCCTGGCTAATTTTTTGTATTTTTAGTAGATATGGGGGTTTCTCCACATTGGTCAGGCTGGTCTCGAACGACCAACCTGAGGTGATCTACCCGCCTCGGCCTCCCAAAGTACTGGAATTACAGGCATGAGCCACCATGCCCAGCCTATTTTATATTTAATTTATTTATTCTGAGATGGAGTCTTACTTTGTTGCCTAAACTGGAGTGCAGTGGCACGATCCTGGCTCACTGCAACCTCTGCCTCCTGGGTTCAAGCTATTTCTGGCTAATTTTCGTATTTTTTGTAGAGACAGGATTTCACCATGTTGGCCAGGCTGGTCTTGAACTCTTAACCTCAAGTGATCCTCCCACCTCAGCCTCCCCAAGTGCTAGGGTTACAGAGGTGAGCCACCGTGCCCGGCTGATCATCCATTTTAAACTATGCAATTCAGTGGTATTAATCAGAATTGTGTTTTCCAAAGGTCAGCATTTAGCTGCCACCTTCATATCAAGCTACATCAGGACCCTACCTATATTATTATTTTCTTTAGTCTAGGGAAGCAGTTCACCCATATTCCTCCGATTGTCACTGATGTGGGCACGCCCCATGTGGGGCTCTGCGCTGGGGCTTTCCGTGCTGTAATCCTTTGATTTTTGTAATAACCCTCTGCACGGAGCAGGCACTAGTAACGGACCCGTTCTCCCAATGAAGCAACTGAGGTTCAGAGAGAAGGGAGTGATTTCCTCACACTAAAGGTCACTGCAGAGCAGGGACTCAAACCAGTCTGCTTACTTCCCAAGCCAGTTCAGTGAGTCCTCAGACAACACTGCCCCAGTCACAACTAGCCCCGTGTGTGTGACACCGCGCTGAGTTTACAAAATGACTCCCCAGGCCCTTCTTAGCTCCCCATTGGGGTGGTTATTCCACTCTTTGTGCAGCTTGAGAAACAGACTGGTGGCCAGGTACAGTGGCTCACGCCTGTAATCCCAGCACTTTGGGAGGCTGAGGCAGGTGGATCACCTGAGGTCAGGAGTTCAAGACCTGGTCAACATGATGAAACCCCATCTCTATTTAAAAAAAAAAAAAACAGACCTGAGACTCAGGGGTTACATGAATTTGGAGGGGTCAGGTTTTTAGTTGCAAATAATAGAATCTACTCCAGCTAATTTGAGCAGAAAAGGCATTTG